AGGTGACCTGTAGGTAGAACGAATAATAAATAATGCTAGGCTTAAGATATAACCTTGAGGAACACCTGGAGGGAATGCAGGGTTTTTTTATCATGTAGATTGTTTAACTATTTGCTAAGGTGACTTGTAGCTAGAACGAATAATAAATAATGCTAGGCTTAAGATATAACCTTGAGGAACACCTGGAGGGAATGCAGGGTTTTTTTTATCATGTAGATTGTTTAACTATTTGTTATGGTGACTTGTAGCTAAAACGAATAATAAATAAGGCTAAGCTTAAGATATAACCTTGAGGAACACCTATAGTTAATAAATGCAATATAAAAAGACTTTGATGAGATGCATTGGAAACAGAAAGTCAAAATAAATTATTGGGTAGACTTAAATAATAGCGGGGTTAAAATACAACCTTGAGAAACAGCCTATAGGTTTTTGAGTAGGAAATTAGAGGTTCATTGATGTTCATGGTAGCTTTTTGCGTGTATTAAACGAATAAGGTCTTTTGGTGGCATGTAAAGGAAGCAGATAAGATCGGTTTTAAATAAGTCAGTTCTTAAAGTACAACCTTGAGAGACTCCTTACAGAATTGTGAATGTGTGGATCTACTGTAAAATGCTTATTTATACAAAAATTCAATGTTATATGCTGATTTTTAAAAAATTATCAAATGTACAAAAGGTTATCAGACGTTCTGGATGGACTATCTGTCAATTGACGGCAAAAAAATTTTAAAACAAGTTTCCTTTTAAAATAGCCGACGGAGCGTTCTTTGTCTTTATTTGATAAATCACATAGTTTAATCATTGACGATTGACCTTTTAACAGATTTTCCTCCTATCTTGATATTTTTTCAGAAGAAACGTTCTTTATCATGTTAAAATGTCAAAAGCGTATTTGGGGCTGAAAATGTTACGAAGTTCCTTTTGCTGCTGGATCTTTCAGGGTGCTTTGACCCGGCCAGGCCAAAGTCAAGGGGCTGGCTGACACGCGTTCCGCTTGCCCTTGGTAAAGAACATACAAAAAATGCCTGACCTAGTTTAGCGTGATCGAAGTCGATTTCCGCGTTGTATAACGCACGTATTATTATTTGCGTGACCACACGGGGGAAAAAAAGAAACGATTTGTTTATGTGTGTTTAAATTTGGCATTGTCTGAACTCTGAAGTAGCGATTTTGACAAAATGGAAAATTGACTTGCACTAGTCTCACAATTTGTTTTTCCAATCAAACAAATCTACAAAATGTTGTTTTTATTTAATTTGTGTACAATATAGCATTAACAAATTACGTAATATAATATAAAAAGAGGCCTGATTTGTTAGAATAGAATAAAATAGTTTTATTGTATTCACAAGTCCGTTGTTCAAACGTCACAAAATAACTATACAATTCATGATTTTATGCTTTTTACATTCTCCTTGAATTTTTATTAATGACTTTTTATAATTGGTAAGTATTCTGTAACGATTTTGTAAATTGTACTGTTTTCTGGGCTATTTTTTTTTTCGTTGATCAGAAGGTGATTACTAAATTATTACCATTTTTAGTATTTATTTTGGGTGTTTCAAGCGAGCCTCAATAATATGGCTTTCCTTAATATACTTTAGATTGGAGTAAATATATAACATAGCTAGGTCATCAATTTCAGTTCTTTGGCTAGTGGTTTACTATGTTCCTTCGGGTTTTTTTTCATAAAGATTATCCTTAATCCATTTGTTTTCGTAGTCAATTGACCAAGTTACTTCTTTCAATCAATTAATTATTCTTTATAAGGTCTTGGTTAAGATAAAAAAGTCAGTCATGAGCTGGATTCGAACCCACGACCTTTGGCTAAATACGCCACTGCTCTACCACTTGAGCTATCGTGTCTTCAATCCTCTCGGACACCAACTCTATCTCAACCAACATTATTCTTAATGCCTTTTTTTTTTTTTTTGCATCTTCAGTAGTTTTTCAGAATATGTTTCTCTTCCCCCAAATCTTATGCCATAATTTAAAATTTCTTGAAATAGTGATAAATATACAGTTTGTAGTACAGATATCAGTGACATTTCTTAATTTGCTAGTTACAGATCGGGACAAGTTTTCTGCATACATAATCAATATGATCGTGCCATTTAACCTTGTTGTTCATAACTGATGAATTGATTTTTATTCACCTTTAGAGCTAGGAAATTAGTGTAGAAATAATCGTAAACTTCATTTAATACTGTCATCAATTTTTTTATATTGTACTTACTAATAAAATTAATACTGTCAGCAAGTTGGAAGGGAGAAATATTCTTAGCTGTACTATTTATTATTATTACAAAAGCTTTTAAGTTATTTAAATATATCACAAAAAAGATAGGCCCTAAAATGGATCTCTGAGGTACACCATATTTGACTGCCGCATGACTTGAATCTCATTAATTATTAGTCTTTTCTTGTTTTTCAAGAAATTTTTACAAAATTTCAACGATGTACCCCTGGTGTCAAAGTGAGTAGTAATTTGATTGTATTCTGATGCATTCTGTATAAAAGATGTAACTGTGTATTTGAGCCTCGTACATATAAAATAACAATGTTTTAAAAAATGCTTAAATCACTCCAGAGGTTGCTTGTCTTTGTAGGTGAAAGTGTCGTTGTAGGAATCTTGTCAATTAGAAGTTGCTGGTCTATGTTAGTTTGATATGAAATCAAATGTTTCTTGTCTTTGTAGGTGTCTTTGAAGATTGATGTCATTCAGAAGTTGCTGGTCATTGTTGGACTAATGTGAAATCCAATGTTGCTGATCTTTGTAAGTGGCTGGCTGGCATCAATTGAAAAATTGCTGGCCTTTGTAGGTGATGGTAAATTTGAAGTATTAGTGTAAATCCAGAAGTTGCTGATATTTGTAGGAAGTGGTAATTCTGTGACAGGTCAATCCGTCTGCACAAAGAAAGTAACTTAATCTACTGTAAAACAAAAATCTTACAAAAACAGAAAACGATCAGGGATAGGGCCCATAAAAAATAAATAATCTTCATAATGCACCGACAGTTGAATAATCAACGTTGTTTGTTTGAATATCAGAATATTCTTCTAAATAATTTATCCTGAGAAAAACTTCATTTACTTTTAAACCATTTCCATTTCATAAATAAACACATTAAATTATTGAGAAATCTGTTTGTGTGCCAGCTTATGGTTGATCAAGACTTGTGGGTTGAGATTATGTGAGGTACATGCAATCCTTGCAAGTTTTTTTTTATAGTTTCTTCATCTATGAAAACCTGACCAAATCTCTTTTCCGCATTTAAATCTTTCCTCTTTTGGACATAGTTTAATACTTTTTATTATTATTATTTTTTGTTTAAAGCAAGGCCTTCTGAAACGAGTTTTTTTTTTTTAAATTGGAAGTATTCGGTTTCTCGATAGAATTCTTCCAATTTTTAAAACAAATTATACATATGATTAAACAATTTGACAAGGGCAAGACAAATCTTGTCTTTAATGCCTAGAGGAGGTGTCGTACAATTTGGAAATTGCATTCTTCCTTTTTGACTCTCTGTCCTCTACTATCTTTTAAAAGACAGTTTTTTTTAATTTAGTCAAATGTATGCGTTTTTCTTTTTGCAAAAGTCTTCATTCTAACCTTGTTGCTTCCAATTCTAACCTTGACAAATAGAGCTTATAAACAGCTTGCTTTTAAGATTTATTTTCTGGGATGTTTCCCGGAAGAGAGGGACATTATGGACATTACTGATTGACACGCAATGATTTATTAATTTAGTGGCTGGCTGGGTTGGCCTTGAAAAGGGACGTTGAAATGTTGTGATCACCAATGTTGAAGCGAGTTTGTTGTTTTTGTGTGGAGGAGGATACCCTTGTAGTAGTAAGGATACCAGCTTGTTATCAGTTATAAAACCACTAGATAAATTAGACATGTTGCATAATAATTGTGATGGCTTCAGGTATCCCAGGTCCCGGTATGAGAGTGATTCCTTGTAGGTTGCTAAGAGCCTATGTGGTAGCTTTTCATAGTGGCAGGTTCGCTATCATGAGGGAACTTACTGCACCTGATCTTAACCATAGCTGTACTTTGCCCTTCCAGAATGCTGGAATTTTAACCAACGGTAACAAGCTACCGATCTGGAGATTCAGGTTGTTTTCTTCTCTTTCATGGCTATATTGCATTAAGTTCAATTGCTAAGGTATGCTGAGAAGACTCATGTGAGCCAGTTGCCCCTTAGTGACCAGAGTTTTTGATACCCCTGAGAATGAGGTTATGGGTGAAGCTGATAGTCAAATGCGTGGACTGATGTCAATGAGTCAATGCAATAATGGAAGTCAATAGACAAGTAGCCACATTGGCTGTTGAGAGTGCGAGAGATGATGCTATGGGGGTGCCGACAGTTTGCTGAGATCTTGTAGGTTAAGCCCGTTGCTGGAAGCTCATTAGCTGTAGCGTGAAAGATGAGACCATTGTTGAAGCAGTACACCTTGTGGATAACTTCTTAGCCACAGTTGGTCACCACATAGCTCCCCCAATGTTGAGTCTCTCCAAGAAGCATGTTGATCATGCAATGGTAAAGAGTTACATGTTCTGGGAAGCGGATTCCTCCTAGACACTAAACATTAACACTAAATTGGACAAGTCTTCTGATTTTATTTTGTAATCCTATGTAATGGCAGAAATGTGTCTCTTTATTTACTCATAATATATCTTCCAAGATAACAGGAAAAATTTATAGATTAATCATGATTGATTTATTATTAACTCATATTTGAAGAAGAACTGAATAAGTCTGTTGATATAAAAGAGAATAGATCAATCATAAAAGATCAAGACGTAAATTTTTGTTTACAATTTAACGCTTAAGTGATTTTTGGAAATACACTTATGGAAATACAAGGATAAGCCAAAAAAGTAATTTTTTGTAAGGTAGAAAAGTTTCTTTCTCCGTTTATGTCTGAATTATGTTTGGATACCTTTTAACAGACCTAATAAATTTATGTAATGCGTATATTTTCTTACAGGCTCCCCTTTGAAACATGACAAGAATTTCAAAGGCCCGTGCAAGAATAGGTCTTGCACCGATGTGATTTTTCTCGCTATCTTCATAGCATTTCTTATACTATGGGGCGGGGTAGCGTATTTTGGTAAGTAAAAGTTTTAAAATTAATATCGAGAACAGTTAAAGTTTATCTCTTTTGCCAGGTTTTTTGAAAGGGAATCCCGAGAATCTCTTGATCACTGTTGATTCAAATGGAAAGAAGTGCGGAGTAGACTCGGAAGTCTTAGACAAGCCTTATCTATTTTTCTTCGACCTTTCAAAATGTGCGACACCAAGTATCCTACTAAGCGGTTGCAACACTGTTCAGGTTTAATTTAATTATTTAAGAAAAAATCAGTACTTAATCAAAACTATTTAGATATTAGTCTTTTTTTTTTTCTTTTGAAGATGTGTGTGAAAGAATGCCCACAGCAAAATTGGGCTTTCCTGCCTTACAAAATTACCCCGATGCTCTTCAACCCTTCAAACATCCAGAAGGATGTCATATGCACCGATGATGTTGACAAGTCGTCAATCAAGACCTTAAATCAGCTTGAGAAGCTAATCAACGATGAGAAGTGCGCCAATTGGTATATCTCGAGCAAGCCAGGTAAGAGTCGATGTTTAGTTTTCAATGATAGGTTTTTCATGCAGCTGTTGACAGTTTTGGGACGGTGCATCAGCCTGTTTGGCAATTTTTCGGGCTTCCCTATGGAAAGTGAAATCCAGGCTGTTTCCGATTCTTCCGTACAGATAGCCGACCCCTTGTGGGACTCCTACACCGAAGGCTATAAGTTTCACAAGGTATGCACGGCATGCCTCACACTGGTCGGAAAGGGGTGCAAAAGCTACAAACAGACAAAAAGTTTGCACGATATATTTAACAAAACACAATGCACAATGTATTGTTAAAACAATATTATAATTTTGATTAAAAATCACATTTAAAAAACGCACCTTGTACAGTCACTGTGAAAGCATGTCATGTACTTTCTTAAAGAAAAAAAAGGGCCATTTTCGGTTCAAAAGGTGGAAATAAAAACAGGGAAAATAACAAGTAACACAGGGTAATGTTATTAACAAATTTGGTGTCAGCGTTGATTCATTTCTCTATTTTGTGACATTTATTTCAAACAAAATGTAAATAATAAAAAAATCAACAAAATGCTACTTTACAATATTCATGTAATGAGTTAAAAATTGTCGCTTTTTGTATTATTTTGACTTCATGTATCAGTCAGACTATCAGGCTATCATGTAATTTTCTGTTTAAAAAAAAAAATTGTAAAAACCGCCACCAACAAATATGAACAACAAAATTATTAAAACAGCCAAAGACCTGGCTACATCTGAAATTACTTTAATAATCTAAAGATGCAGAACCAACGAACAAAGACCTCACTGTTTTTTAAATGCTTAGAAAATCACTGTCACAGAAAGTCAGTGTCATGAGCAGGATTCGAACCCACAACCTTCAGCTAGATACGCCGCTGCTCTACCACTTAAGCTAACATGACCTCGATCCTCTCGGACACTAACGTCCCATCACAACCCCACTTTTGAATTTTTCCTCCTTTTAGCCATTTTTCAAATGTCGTGAAATCTATTTGATCTCGGCAACAGATGAAATGGCCATGGAGAGCTTTAGGGAAGATATACTTCTTTTTAACTTATTAAATTCACTAGTTTTCATTCTACCAATAAAATCTTTCAGTTAATTAAGATTTTTAGTTGAGATAAAGTCAGTGTCACAATGGGATTTGAACCCACAACCTTCAGGTAGATATGCTTCTACTCTACCACTTGAGCTATCGTGACTTCGCGACTTGAGATGGGAAGTTAGTGCCCGAGCAGATCGAAGTCATGATAGCTCAAGTGGTAGAGTAGCCTGAGGCCTAGCTGAAGATCGAGGGTTAGAATCCCGCTCGTGACACTGACTTTTTTTATTTTAACCAAAACCTTAATTAATTGAAAATAATTTTTTTGTTCAATCGGACCACGAAACCTAATAGATGTTATAGTATATGTTAATTTATTGAGCACGAAAATACCCTTAAACATTTACTACAAGCAAGATGTAATTTTACAATAAATTGTTCTAATTAATCTTTATGTAAGGCATTGGTTGAGATAAAAAAAAAGTCAGTGTCATAAGCGGGATTGAAAAATGGCAAAAAGGAGGGAAAGATCGAAAGGTGGGGATGAGGTGGGAAGTTAGTGTCTGAGCGGATCGAAGTAACGATGGCTCAAGTGGTAGAGCAGCGGCGTATCTAGCCGAAGGTCGTGGGTTTGAATCCTGCTCGTGATACTGACTGTTTTATGTCTACTAAAAAACCTTAATTAATTGCATTTATTAAGTCATTTCAAAAGTAGTCAGGACCACGAAAATTAGTAAATTTAATAATATGAAGAAATGCCTAACCAATAAAGTCAGGAATACTTTTGAAATAACATTAAAAATACAAAGATATAACTTCTTATAATTATTTTTAACATAGAAACACTGACCCAACCAACAAAGACCCCTGACTACATTTGAACTGACTTACAGAATAGTAAGATGGACCAACCAAGAGACCAACCAAGTCTTAAGATTATTTTAAAAATACAATGGCAGAACCAGCCAAATTTGAGAGACATGGCAATGAACAAAGATTACATCCGAAATTACTAGACTACAAATACAGACTCAACTAACAAATAACTTGACTATTCTGAAATTGTTTAAACACTACGATGACTAATGACCAACAAAGTTGGTTTCTGAATTAATGTGAAGTTCAAATCTTCTTTAAGGTCTTTACTAGGTGAAAGAAAGACAAAAGTGTTGGGATCACCAAGCTTTCAGCAACATATTGTTGCCATCACCAGGGCCTATTTATTAAAATCAAAAATATACATAATTAATATAAATTCTACAATCAATTAAAACAATAATGCATACTTTCCCAAGAGAGAAGAGAAAAAATTCTCATTGGAAAAAACTATTGTAAAAGTGCTTTGGTTTAGGTTATGAAGCACATGGCCAGCATTCAGTTATGAGAATTTTTTTCTCTCTCTTCTCTCTTGGGAAAGTATGCATTATTGTTTTAATTGTTGATTGTAGAATTTATATTAATAAATTAATTAATATAATTAATTATGTATATTTTTGATCTTAATAAATAGGCCCTGATGTTGGCAACATAATGTTGCCGAAAGCTTGGTGATCCCAACACTTTTGTCTTTCTTTCACCTAGTAAAGACCTTAAAGAAGATTTGAACTCCACATTGATTATCTGCAGGTTGTACAAACATCATTTTTTCTGAATTAACTTTAGCATTACAAAGATACAGTGAACCAGCAAAGAGAGGAAAAGCTTTAAAATAATAAAGACAAACCAATCAGCAGACTGCTTCTGTAATGACTTAAAGAACCAAAAGAATGACCCAACCAACAAAGACCCGACTACTACTGAAAAGACTTTAAAATACAAAGGTAAAACCAGACCTGATTAATTCTGAAATTACTTTATAAATACAAATACTTGTTCACGTATGAATTGACACACAAAATGTGATCATTTGATAGTAATCGATCAAGGCCTGCTTATGTAAAGTCAGTGACTTAATCAACCTTCTTAAAATGATTTCAATGCACTACCGAACTTACTTTAAATTGAATTTAGGACTTAAACTACACCAAAACTGCTGTCAATCGCTGAATCTCAAATATATCAGAATAAAATTTCATCATAGTTCAATTCAATTATTTAACATATTTGATTTTAAAAATTAAAATTCTGCATAATATGCCAAGGAACTTTTGATGTGAAAAATTTCATGTTAAATGGTAAATGTTTTTAAATATTTTATAAAAGCATGATAAGTTCATGTAATATTGTAGGGTGCATGTAAACAGATAGGTGAGTGCATGTATAATGTTGCAGTATACAATCGTTGCCTTCCGAACTATGAAGAAATATACGAGTACAGAAAGTTCTTTAAGCTTGCAGGGCAGTATGGGGAAGTTGTGATGGAGAAGTTAATTAATTCCACATTGTATATCAATAATATGTCCATAGAAGAGGTACAAGCACTGCTTTTCATCTACTAACAAAACAATTAAATTTAAAAAATTCAAATTTAAAGATTTATAACCTCTTTGTTTATGCAGACTGGAAGGCACTTGTTGGACGACTTGATGCGATCGTGGAAAGTGATCATTTTAGCTCTGGTGATCTCAGTTCTTGTAAGCCTTTTGTATATATCTCTTCTCCGTTGGATCGCTGGCATCATTATCTGGGTTACGCTGATCGGTGTGGTGGCGCTTCTCATAACATGTAAGTTTAAATAAAAATTCAACTTGATACATAATTCTACGTTTTTTATGTAAATTTCAGGTTGCATATTTTCTTGGAGGCGTTATATGTTCTTGAAAGACAGCAAACCGATTGACACCAAGGCAAAGATGTTGGAGGGTCAGTTTGAAGAGCTTCTAAAGAGCAAAGATCTATTCTTTTGGCTGACTGTTGTTGTCGCTGTATTCACTCTCATTATCCTCCTTTTAATTATATTTTTAAGAAAAAGGATCCAAATTGCAATCTCATTAATCCAAGAAGGCAGCAAGTAAGGGTTAATTTAATTTATTGTAAAATTGAAAACTTGAAAAAATTAATTTTAAAAAATTACAGGGCTGTGAGCAACGTTATATCATCTCTATTTTTTCCAATAATACCGTGGTTCTTTCAAGTATGTGTTGGGTTATGGGTTATTTTTGTATGGGCGTGCCTGCAATCGGTCGGCGAGAAAGTTTTCAAAGTGAACGGCTTCGACGGAAGCCATTGTAGATGTGGAGGAGCATACGAGGTAAGCGCCGTTTGATACAAGACAAAAAGAAAACTTTTTACAATGAATTATATAATTTTCAGAAGATCAAAAACGGCGATTTGTGTGTTCCGGATGAGTTCAGCAATCTGTGCATAGATTTGATGACGGGTTTTAACTGCACGACGGCATCTTGCGATTACTTTAAGACGCAACCGCCTTCTTATATGATCTTTCTCCATATGTTCAATGTCTTCGGCTTCTTCTGGGGTTTTTGGTTCCTTTCCGGCCTGTCGGATATGATCCTGGCTGGAACTTTCGCTAAATGGTACTGGACTTTTAACAAAAAAGACGTACCATTTTTTACTGTCACTGGTGCTGCACTTACAACCGTGAGGTACTTATTTCTAACCTTTTTAATTTTAAAACTTAATAAACAATTCTCTTTTTTTTTCAGATATCACTTAGGTACAATAGCTTTTGGTTCGCTTATTATCGCAATTTGCTCATTCATAAGGGCGACAATTGAATACGTTCAGAAGAAAACCAAAGCTTATGATAATCCGGTTGTAAAGGCTATTTTATGCTGCTGCAGATGCTTTTTTTGGTGTCTGGAAAAGTTCCTGCGCTTTATAAACCGCAATGCGTATATCATGTGTGCCATACATGGGCGCAATTTTTGCCATTCAGCTCTTGAAGCTTTCAACCTACTCATGCGTAATATCATCCGTGTTGTAGTCTTAGATAAGGTAAAATTATAGATAATTATTAAAATAAAAAGTATATCATGTTTAAAAAAAATTTTTTAGGTGACAGACTTTCTGTTTTTTATTGGTAAGCTTGTCATAACAGGTTCTGTCGTCGCAATAGCTTACTTACTGTTCTTCATGAACAATCCTCAAAATCTATACTTCAAAGGTGCAGTCCCGTTGTCCCTTATAGCTATTGGGGCATATTTTATTTCTTCGATATTCTTTGGAGTGTATGCCATGGCAGTGGACACCCTTTTCCTATGTTTCTGTAAGTCACATTGTTTAATTAATGCCTTGGGAATCTTAATGACTTTTTGTTTTTTTTTAGTGGAAGACTGTGAGCGTAACGACGGCTCAATTGATAAACCATATTTCATGTCCAAAAACCTAATGCAAATACTTGGGAAAAGAAATAAAAAACAATCGTGATTTATTTATTTTTAAATGTGTAAATATTGTTACATACATGCCAAAGTTTTTATATAACCTTTTCAACTGTGTCTCGTTTTATAAGCAGGGACGTATTTGTATAAAAATGTAGTGAAATAAATTTTATATATATGTAAATGAGATTAAAAGTTTAAATAAAAGTTGTATAAAGTCCAAAGGTTTGTTATTATTATTTTCTTAAAAACATCCAAGAAATGTAAAATGTGATCTTCAAATCATCAACATAAATTAAACACTTCATTCCCTGTCACTTCAACTACAAAATACAGTTTTTATTATATTTGACTTAATCCAAATTTACGTGCTGCACGACTTTTTGAACTTTATGAATAGGTTTCATTGTTATCTGCGACACAGATTCTCTAAACCGAATTTTTCTTATTTTAAATTTAGAATTTGAATCGTTAAATTTTACAACAGGGATAGGTAATTGTGTTACTAAAAATATCAAATTATAAATCTTATATATTACATTGTATGACATCATTTTATTTTATTACTGTAGTAATTAAGTCATTAAAAATTGAAACAAAAATTGAACATTATCAACAGTTAATTAAGGTTTTTAGTTGAGATAAAAAAGTCAATGGCACGAGCAGGATTCGAACCCACGATCTTCGGCTAGATACGCTGCTACTCTACCACTTGAGCTATCGTGACCTCGATCCACTCGGATTTTTATCTCAATTAAAAACCTTAATTAATTGTAATATATTAATTGGTCAAGCGGACCACGAAATTAGTGAATTTAATGAATTAAAATGAAGTATACTTCACTAAAGCTCTCCGTGGCCATTTCATTTGTCGCCGAGAATCCAATCCGATTACACGACATTTGAAAAATTGCAAAACTCAAAAGGTGGGATTGAGATGGGAAGTTAGTGTCTGAGTGGATCGGGGTCACGATAGCTCAAGTGGTAGAGCAACGGTGTATCTAGCCGAAGGTCGTGGGTTCGAATCCCGCTCGTGCCATTGACTTTTTTATCTGAACTAAAAACCTTAATTAATTGTAATATATTAATTGGTCAAGCGGACCATGAAATTAGTGAATTATCAACAGTTAGTAATCTTGATCTTCAGGCATTTTCCTGGTTTAGAAGTTTTGGAATAAATCTAGAATATTTTTATATTCTTAATTAGATATTTTACCAGTATGTTAATATGAACAATTTTTTTTTATTTATTTACAGTCCAAACAGGTCAGGTACCCAAGCATAGGACAGTCAAGCAAGACAACAAAACAATCATTATGATATAAACTATTAAAAAAGGATATAAAAATAATAGCAATAAAAATAACAGCAACGAAACGCTTATACTTTTAACAAAAAATCAATATTATAAATAGATTAATAAATAGCACAACAAAAGTAATAAATAAACCCTCAATTACATTTTAAATCACGTTTAATATTTTTTTTTTAAAGATCTGAAGGGATGAGGAGAAGGGGTCCACATTGATAGCGAATTTATTTAATTAATGCCCAGCTGTGGAGATTGAAGACTGTAACCCGTATTTGGTCCTGTGCCGTTAAGTACCAAACAATTTATGGGTTCGTAGTTGAACTGGGGAACCCTAAAGTCAATACAAGATAATATCTCCGGGGAGTCAATAAAATTATTTAGGATCTTCCACAGAAACACAACGGAAGCCAAAACTCTCTATCCTCTAGAGAATCCAGGCCTATGAGAGCAAGTCTGGCTTCATAGGAGCAATGATTGTAGTTCCTGTGATTGCATAATTTGTAATAGGTATTTTGTGGCCTTTCTCTGTACCCTTTCTATCAAGTAAGACCCATCTAAAGAACTTGGCGACCAAACAACACTGGCATACTCTAGGTGACTGCGCACCAGAGATTAATAGAGTAATTTTGTTGCAAAAGAGTTCTTAAAGTCAGCAGTTTGCCTGAGTACGAATCCTAAATTTTTAAAGGATTTATTTCCAATGCATGGATATTGTCCCAAAAATCACAATTCTTATTAAAAATAACCCTGAGATCCGAGATAATATCTACCTCATCAATGTGATAACCTTCGATAATATAAACAAATTGGCCGTAATCGTGAATTATTTTTTTCTTGCTGAACTTCAAAATCTTTATTTTCTTTACATTTATTTTCGTTCAATTTCAAATTATTACGCTTACACCAAAGCCAAAAGCGACTCAAGTCATTTTGTAAGAGAATACAATCATTCGACGATTCGACAGGGTGATAAATTTTCAAATCATCTGCTAACAATGAAAATAAAGAATTAATGAGAGCAGAGGCATGTCATTACAAAATAGAAAGAAAATAAAAGAAATAAGATCGGACCAGAATGAGAGCCCTGAGGTACACCAGATCGTATGTGGACAGGGTTTGATAAGTCTTCACCAAATCTCACAGCAAAAGACCTCTCAGACAAAAAGGGTCCACCCATCCCAAAAGGGGTTGGCCCACACCTAGTTTTTTGACCGGAATGAGACACACTAATTTGTGTCCAATATGAAAGAGTATTTTGCCTCTCCCTGTTTCATGCCATCTGACATCTCCTAACCTTCCAAACTGATGCAGCATTTTCACCAAATTCTGGCCTAAATATCTCTAAAGTGATTAAAACTCATTTAGGTTCAAAACTCTTGCCTCAACCTGTTTGTAACCCTGATGTCATGCCATCATCCAATATTTCCAGCTAGGCTCTCCCTTACAAACTGGAACAGTAGTTTCACCAAATCGTCATCTAAAAACTTCAGCACATTTTTTTGGCAATTATTAAATTATCTGGTTTTTATAGAAGATTTGGAATTATCAACCAATCCCTGTCTTGATCTGTTTATAACCTTGACATTATACCATCATCCTATACTTTCCAGTCAACGGCTCATCCCTTACAAACTGGGACAGTATTTTCACCAAATCCTTATCTAAAAACTTCAGCACATTCTTTTGGCAATTATTAAATTATCTGGTTTTTATAGAAGATTTGGAATTATCAACAAATCCCTGTCTTGATCTGTTTATAACCTTGACGTTATACCATCATCCTATACTTTCCAGTCAACGGCTCATCCCTTACAAACTGGAACAGTAGTTTCACCAAATCGTCATCTAAAAACTTCAGCACATTTTTTTGGCAATTATTAAATTATCTGGTTTTTATAGAAGATTTGGAATTATCAACAAATCCCTGTCTTGATCTGTCTATAACCTTGACATTATGCCATTATACAATAATTTCCAGCTAGGCTCATCCCTTACAAACTGGGACAGTATTTTCACCAAATCCTTACCTAAAAAATTCAGTACATTCTTTTGACAATTATTAAATTATATGGTTTTCATAGAAGATTTGGAATTATTAACAAATCCCTGTCTTGACCTGTTTATAACCTTGACGTTTGCCATTATACAATTTTTTCCAGCCTTGGCTCATTCCATATGAACTAGAGCAGTTACGAAATCCACCTGTAAACATTTCTAAAATTAGGTGACGATTGACAAGAAAATTTTTCTTTGACCAGCTTAGATGGTCCAATGATGACCAATCCATCATACTATTGACTCTAACCATGGAAATAGTTGTAGAAGTGGATGTGCAGTTTGACAAGAAAATTTTATTGCCTGGCATAAAGCTGTGTCTCCCATGTGTAGCTCGTGACACAAATTTTTCTTCTCAACCTTCTTTCCATAAAAACCTGGAAAAAAATCTTGCCTCGACCTGCACATTACCATCTGACAGACCAAAACAGTGAGACTAACGGGGCCAAAAACGATCAAAAATGGCCAAACTAAAGGCTCTCCACAAATGTCATTCATTCTTTAAATCTTTCATGGCACATACTGATACTAAAGTTTTGTTAGAATGTTAAAATTTGTTATAAATAAAATGCTTTTTATTTTAATTTTTCAATTTTTTTTTTGTTATATTTAAGATTTGTAAAGTTTGAGTACAAAATCAATACCCAGAGTGCTCAAATAATCCTTGTACCTATTGTTCATTTTCGAAACAAATTCTTCCCACGGCCTTGGAAAGCAAGGGTCATACTGGATCAACAAGTGAACCCTTTTAATCCCTGTAATTCAATTTTTATTTTTTTAAATTTATTATTTCTACAAAATTACGAGTAAATAATAAACCAACTCGTTTTGTGTTCCATGAGGTATTGGCATATTTTATTGACCGTGTCACATTTGTCCAGCTGTCCTTGGTACTCGAATTCTTCAAGCGATGGGATTTTTGTCAGGAGCTTTCCAATACTCACGTCCATAAGCTGATGCGGATGCCAATTCTCAATGCTGATCCTTTCTTTATAATTTTATATAATTAATTTTTTTTAATCAGTATTTTTTTTTGTTAATAAGCTTACTCAGCGTCTTTGAGTAAAAGAAGACCAGCATCCTGAAAATACAGTCGAGCCAGGGAGGCTTGTAATTTGCCAGCTCCCTGAATATCATTCCTCCTGTCATGTTAAACTCGACAAGTGGTATGTTGTCCATTAGAACTGATTTGACATCGTTGTAGTGATATATATTAACTGAAAAAAATAATACATATAAGAAAAAATTGTTAATGGTTTTTTTAAATTTTATACCGAGTGTGAGAGAGACTTCAAGCCTTGGGACCTTGCTCTCGACGTATTTCCAAGCTGCTCTCGATATCTTCTGTTTTATTATATCTGTCGTCTCCAAGTCATTATAAAGGAGATGGAGACTTTTTAAAGTTTTGAATTTTATACAGCCAAGCTGGCATAAAGTCCGACCTGAAAACACGTTTTAAAAAATTCATTTAATTTTAAAATTTGGTTTTACCTTGGCTTCCAGCAAGCCAGGCGTAGTGGATCCAAAGGACGGTGAGGTTTTCTAAAAGGCCTAGGCTGATCTTGAAATATTCGCATATTTTTGAAGACGGGATGTCTTGTAAGTCAGCATTGATGACTCTGTGATGCCAGATAAATTCCCTAGATGACTCCGACGGTCTCAGGTCTTCTTCTCTGCTATACTTGAAGTGATCGTATTCAGAAAATGCTAAAATGGACTGTTTTAAAATGTGTCTTTTTTCTGATTTTTATTATCGTACTTTGACCCTTTTCAGGGATTGGAAGTAGCCCATTTTTGAAGTAATACCATAAATTGAGTGTTTTGAGCGAATGGCCCGCGCCTAATGCAAGGAGGAGGAGAAGTCTTATCCCTTCTGACAAATTCATCTGAGAATTTTCCAAAACAACATGCTTCAAATTTGTCTGATTTCTAAAAAAATAAAATTAATTTAAAAGAGATATAAATCAGCCCATTAAAAATAGATTTTACTTTACAACGTGGGCCAAAGCAAGGCAAAGCTGGTGTTTGATCTGTGCATCGAGATATTTGAAGTTGAGAACGAGCGGTGACAAGACTAAAGAGTTTGTTTGAAAATTGCTCGTGTCAAGTTTGTAGATGACTCTGTCAAGTGCCTGAAAATTGTCAAAAAATAAAATTTTTGAAGGAAAGAAATTTCAAACTGTTTACCTTTTTCACTTCATGCGTAAAACACTGGTCTGTTTTGGCAAAGTTTGTCTGTACGTGCCACATCAACGTGCAGTATTTGCTCGCAAGGTGCATCGGCTTGTAAAGAAGTGGTAAATAAGCGAGGCGTTTATTGCCTTCCGAAAACCGTAAATGAGCTCTTTTGTTATTGATGGCGTAGCGTTTTCTGGAAAATTAAAATAAAACAAAATTAAAAAGTGATAGCGGAATGAGATCTACAACCCATCAATATTTGCAAATTGTAGCAATAGGGTTAGGGTTAAAACTGGTTGGGTTAGGTTAATCAATCTTAACCTACATATCAAGGATTTAATATTTCCATGAAGAGAATGGTTTTTCCATGATGAGGAGAAAATATGGGAATCTTGCATGTTCCCACATTTTTTCCATGAAGAGGAGAAAATATGGGAGTCCTGCGTGTTCCCACTGGTCCATTTGTCTTGTCATTTCACCACGTTCAGTGATGGATTTTTGTTAAAATTCACAAACATTATTTAAAACTGAAAATTTGGTTTTCCTCAGCAATTTGTATGAAACATCTAATTTTCTAGGTTGATACAAAATAACGTAAACTGACAAATTACATAAATGTTCACGTATTGTATGATGGGTTGACATCATGGTATAAGCAGGCCGAGACAAGATTTTCTCATCAATTCATCTACTTTTGATGTTTGTTATTATTTACAGTTAATTTTATGGAGATAATAAATGGATAAATGAACAGTGATTAAAAGGGTTCACCTGCTGATCAAGTATGAGCCTTGCTATCAAAACCTTGAGAAGAATTCATTGAGAAAATGAACAACTATCTGTGTTTTATACTCAAACTTTACAGATATATAATAAAAAATAGAAAAATAAAAATAAAAAACACATATAACAAATTTTAACATTCTAACAAAACTTATATTCTTACTTATTTATCGTATCAATGTGAGCAATAATATTTAAAGATTTTTTGCTTGATGTTTGCACAGAGCTTGTAGTTTGGTCATTCTTGAATCGTTTTTGGCCCAGTTTGGTTGTTTCTGACCATTTTTGGCGCAGCTAGCCTCACTGTTTTCATCTGTCAAATGCATTTTGGCATTTTAAGTTGAAAACAGCATTTACAGAAAATACTTCATTAAGGTAATATGCAGTTCAAGGCAAAATTTTTTCCCAAATTTTTTTTGCAAAGAAGGTTGAGAAGAAAAATTTGTCATGAGCGGGAACCCACGACCCTCAGATTTATACTTGGCTCATTCTATACACACAATGAGCAAGCACTAATCTCATGTAAGTAGTTAAAAGCAGATATGCAATTTGGCAAGAAAATCCTGCCTTAACCTACTTATATCCCTGATGTCATGTTAGCCAATGGCTCTTTCCTTACAAACTTAAGCATTTTGCCACAATATTCTGGTTAAATACTTCTAAAAGTAAAGGTGGAATTGATAAGACAATCTTGCCTCGACCTGCTAATAACCCTGATGTCAAGCTGTTGAAAAAGTCCTCTCAGCAAACGACTCATTTTGTATGAACTGTAGCAGTATTTTCACCAAATGCATGTACAATTATTTCTGAAATTAGGTGTGGAATTGATAAGTAAATCTTGCTTCGACCTGCTTATAAAATTTACTAGTTTTATGGTCCGCTTGACAAATTAAATTAAATCCAAATGGCAAAAAGGAGGGAAAATTCAAAAGGTGAGGTTGAGATGGGAAGTGTCCGAGTGGATCGAGGTCACAATAGCTCAAGTGGTCGAGCAGCAGTGTATCTAGTCGAAGATCGTGGGTTCGAATCCCGCTCGTGACACTGACTTTTTTTTATCTCAACTAAAAACCTTAATTAATTGATGTCATGGCATCATACAATACTTCTCCGGAAATGGCTGATTTTATGAAAACTGGAACAGTATTTCCAGCAAATTCTGGTCTAAATATCTCTAAAAGTAGATATAGAATTGACAATAAATCTTGCCTTGACCTGTTTATAACCCTGACATCACGCCATCATACAATACTACCCAGTCAATGGCTCATTTTATACAAACTGGAACAACACTTTCAACAAATCGTTACCTAAAAGAAGTAAAATTTGAATTTTCTTAACAGTTATTAAACAAACCCTGGCATCATACCATCTGACATAATATAGTAGTGAATGTCTCATTCCACATAAACTAAAGCAGTTTTTTTGCAATGAATCTGGTTAAAAGTGGAGGTGGAATTGATAAAAAATCTTGCCTTGACCTGCTTATAACCCTGAGGTCAAGCCAACAAACAGTGCAAAATAAAATACCACTAGTACTTAATAGAAGATTCAAGTCAACTCGAATTGAACTAGGACACTATTAAAAACTACAAAAAGCTGTAGAACTTGGGGAATAACAAACCCCTGCTTCCTAGTGTCTTCATGCAACATCAGCAGGAAATTCCTGTGCGTTATAACTTAAATTATTCAGTAACATTCTCAGTTGACAGAATATTACAATATAAACAATGAGTCATCATTTACCAATTGATTCATGATCGATTGAAGTAATCGGAAAAAACTGTAACACAAAAGTTTTTTTTTTCAAATGTGAAAAAGAGTTAATTATTTATAAAAGTAGTTAACCCAATATCAAATCAGTTATAACTAACCTCTATATCAGGCATAACATTGAGCATTCAAGTAATTAATTAATCATATGTTTAAACATTTAGAAAAATTTTTGTGAAGGTATTTTTTTAAAGAGTAAAATTAGTAAGGGATTGAAAAATGAGAAACCTTGTCGAGTTGATTATCTCAAAGCAGTTCTGCTCGCAGCGGAGCATCTTGTAGTCGTCCTCTTCGAAGAACTCTTTGTAGTAATGAGCCGGCTTCAGTTTCCCTCTCAGCCCACCCCATAGCTGTTGGAAAATCTTGACGATCGGCTCTTGATATGAATCATCGAGCTCGTAAGCATAATTGAGTCCGGGTGGCTTGTCCCTGAACTTAACGATGTGGTTGTACTTGAATTTGACGAACTTAGTTGTCGGCTGTTTGTGAAATGGCATTCCGTTCAAATTTTCCTCCTGCCTGTGAGATTTGAATAGAAGAAAGAAAAAAAACAACTAGAAAAGAAAAAACAACTAGTCTAACCTAATAATATTTAAAATATATCATATGAATTTTTTTCTTGTTTTCATTTAGAAACCTAAAAATTAGAATAATTTTTAAAATAAAAGGAAACAGTTTTGAACATGATAAACAAGCTTCAATTTCAAGATATATATATATTTTTTAACCCTGATCAGTCTATTTTCTCTTTTCACTGACTCTAACCTTTCATAATAAACTTGTGAATCAATTTAAAATTTAAAAGGTCTTCAATTGTAAACAAATTGTATAACATATATTATTCTTTATTAAAAATAAGCAATTCATAATGGCCATACATAAAAAATATGAAACTTAAAACTGCTGAACTTTGTTTTCTTGCAATTTCATGATCTTCTATTGAAGCCCGATCCAACTGATTAACTGGAAAATAATAAAATTAGAAACAATAAAAAATCATCTACATCAAGTTTACTGTAGAAACATACAAAATATGTTGGTGCTAAGATGAAACATCCTGTTTTGAGGCTGAGAAAAAAACAGAACTTTTTAGGTAGGAAGGAGTCTAATTTCATGTTCATCACCATCCTGCATTAAATTTAAAAAAAAATTGTTAAATATTAAAATAAGTATATAATAAAGGATAATGTGGCATGATAAAGAAAATGTTTTTCTGAAACCTACATCACACCAGACCGCATATCACGATTTCTGAATAATCATCGACTAACGGTCAGTTATCACCACACATTTTACACACATATTGAAATAAGATTTACACACTAAAATTTACAGCCAGCCGGGAAAATTTTACTGTTTATAAAAGATTAATGGCTGTGTATTAACCCTCCTAACACATAATTCAAGATTTGAATACTTTCAGTGTAATAGTCAACTCAACTCCAAAATCAAATACGGGGATAAAATTTTGTTAAGCAAGTTCGATCTGCTTTCAAACTCAATCACTTTTTTGAGCTCTGTAGAGAGACAAACCACCCATACTTAAAGAAAAATAAAATAAATTATACTGGCACGTTTGATAACACAAGAGACAAGCTGGAGTGCCTCAAGGAAACATGTTAGGACTGCTAATATAATTACAAATACTGAAATATCGATCTGCTTTCAAACCCAATCACTTTTTTGAGCTCTGTAGAGAGACAAACCACCCATACTTAAAGAAAAATGAAAGAAATTGCTGGCACGTTTGATAACACAAGAGACAAGCTGGAGTGCCTCAAGGAAACATGCTAGGACTGCTAATATAATTAAAAATGCATAAATAGCAATTTGTTTTCCAATCTGTTGGTATTCTTGAGCCCCAAAGAGCAGTAGTCCAATTCGGCGAAAGTTACACTACAAAGAATATAATTTAGATATACAATTAGTCTGTAAATATATGATATTCTGGCCTCCAAGTCAAAAAGTAACTTGTTCCAGAAAAATAACATAAATTATGCTGGCATGTTTTATGGCTTTTAAAACTGAATAACATAGACGTAGATAATTCAGATGAATGGGTGTAAAAAATTATTGTTTGTTAAAAAAAACTTACTCAGCAATGCTTAAAGGTTTATACGACAAACAGTTTTACTCTTCACAGCAGTCTATGATTCAATTTACTAGATATTAAAAACATACAAAAAAACTGCTTCCAATTTTATATCTAGTTTATCTACTAATTACTTGTACTGTAGTTTAATTATTCTTTTTTAAGACTACAACCCCCCCCCCCAAGGGAAATCAGTTTGTTAGAATCATTTACAAAATTTGAGCAAAACAGTTTTTTATTTATTTCAAACTGCCAGCTACTCCCAATTAGGTTGATTCATTTAACTCTTAAACTGAAAAAATCTTGGTCAAATTTGTATTAAAATCCTTTGGAAAAATTTCCCTGATAAAGGTTCTGGGTTCGAATCCTGGCATAGTTCAACCTTAATGGTTAAACCATATATGTTTAGCTGTCATAAATGACTGTATTAATTATTTTTTTGATCTAAGGTCTTAGTTGAGACCACAACAAGAAGTCACAATAGCTCAAGTGGTTAGAACAGCGGTGTATTGAGCCGAAGGTCGTGGTTTTGAATCCTGCTCGTAACACTAACTTTTTCATCTGAACTAAGACCTTAGAAAAAAAGAATAATTAATTGACTTAATGGTTAAACACCTTATGTGTGACGATACCAATGTCCACCTCTGGGCAATTTTCTGCAACTTAGGGTACTTCTGTACTGATCTGTTCCCACAAAACTTCACAGAAATTCTTCAGTTCGATAAGAATTTATCTTTTTGACCAAGTTGGCTGAATGGTTAGGCTGACCCATATTTACCATACGAGTTTGATGTTTTGAATTCCGGCATAGCCCATGGATTTTCAGATTTGTAATGGTACCAAAGACTGGGCAAAAGCCTGTCCTGGTTTTTTGCAAATTAAGTTTTTTCTGAGTTGATTTGCCGCCAAGAATTACACAATTCTTCAGTTTGATAAGAATTTCCATTGATCTTTTTAACAAGTGGCCGAGTGGTTAGTTAGTCTGAGTTGTTTGCCACACTAGAGGTTCTAATTTTGAATCCGTAATTCGTGGTTGGATTTTTAATTAAAAATAATTGGAAAAAAGTTTTGTAGTTAAGTCCTTGTCCACGACACCCAATGTCATTTTATGTTAAGCCCTCCCAAATGGCAGGAATTACTTCAACTTTTACTCAAGAAAAATGGCAAAAAGGAGGGAAAATTCAAAAGGTGGGGTTGAGATGGGAAGTTGGTGTCCGAGTGGATCGAAGTCACGATAGCTCAAGTGGTAGAGCAGCAGTGTATCAAGCTGAAGATCGTGGGTTCGAATCCCGTTCGTGCCATTGACTTTTTTATCTCAACTAAAAACCTTAATTAATTTTACTCAAGAGTTAAAATTGCTATATGTAATGGTAACAAAGTCCTCCTCTGGGACAGTTCGATAAGAATTGATCTTTTTGACCGTGGTGGCTGAGAGAACGGATTTTTAAATAAAATAAAAAGAAAAAATTATTGTCGTGCTCTGACCCATTGTCCACAACACCCAATATGTAGTTTTATATTAAGCCCTCTTATATGACAATAATTACTTTAATTCTGGATGTTGTACACATTGAAAATGTAAGAGTATGATCAGCGATGTCAAACTGCAAAAGAATAGTTATTATTGAAAGGATGTACTTGATACTTTTTTTAAAAATAAATAAAATAACTACAATGGTTTCATTATTATATTTTCTCATAACGTTACAATGTGTTGTACTAATGGTATAGGGTTGTAGTAAAAAAAAAAAATGCAAGTAGGAACATTATTGTTTAATACTGAATCTTTCGAAATAGTTTTCCATTTTTTTTTAGACTTATTATGTACAAATGTAGGTGAAGATGAGACTCGTACTAAAGGCTTGCAATTATTTGACGGGGTTGTTCGGATGTGAAAAGCGCTCTGAAGAGCTTCCTGTTGCGTGCTTCCTCTTCGAGCAGCCTGGCCTTCCCGATGCCGACTTTGATTATGTGCGATGGCACTCCGGCCAGGCGGGCAGCGTTGAAGCCAAACGACTTGGGGCATGCCCCAGTTGATAGTTTGTACAAGAAGGTGACCATCTCCTCTTTTCCTTCCTCGGTATCGTCGTCACTTTCGGCCATGCATGACTTAAATAAAACAATTTTTAAAAAAATCTGTTTGCTACAATTCTAATTTGATTTCTATATTGTCATTTTTATTTTTATGTGTGAATTTACCATGTGAGCCAACATAATTCCATCACAGTTCCTGAAACTATCGACCAATGTGTGATAATGAGTTGAAAAGATGGTGCGGCAGCCCATCCTGCATAGTTCGTGCAGTACCGCATCGGCAATCGCAGTTCCGTCGTAAGTCGAAGTACCACGGCCTGAAAATCCAACATCAGGAAGAAAATTCGTAAATTGTTTTTTTTTCTCATACCTAGTTCATCAACGAGGACGAGAGAATGCGCTGTGGCGTAGTTAAGTATCGCAGAAGCCTCGCACATTTCAAGATAAAAGGTGCTGTCGCCTGACATTATATCATCGTTGGCACCAATCCTTGTGAAGATTCTGTCGACGCTGGTCAGCTCCATCGCTTCCGCTGGTACAAAGCTGCCCACCTGTGCTAAAATGATCAGCAAAGCCGCTTGCCTCATCAAAGTCGACTTTCCACCCATGTTCGGACCAGTCAGTAGCATAATACTGGCAACGTTTCCACCAACTTCAGTGTCATTGGGTATGTAGTTGTCCTGGCAGGTTATACAAGGGTACTTTCCGTTTGTTATTTTCACATAAGGCTATGGAAAATATGAAATGAATCAAACTGTTAAAGATTACAATCAAGATCAAAGTGATAAGATTACAAATTAAAAAACAACCTTCTGAAAGCTCCCAGCTTCTTTGAAAACTGGGACACATAAATCTCCTTCAATGCTTAAGCAATATTTAGCGAGAGACATGAGAGCATCGAGAGTTGCCATGCACTCAATCGCATTATGCCAACATGTATACCTATAATAAAATAATCAAATCAATGAAACATTTTATAAAGGTGTTAAAAAAATCATTAAAATAACCTTTCAACAAATTTTCCAAAAAGTCTCTTCCTGAGGTCTAGAAGAACTGAAATTTTCACCTCCTCTGCTGCGATTTGTCTCTCAAGCAAGGCCTGTTTTTAAAAGTTGATAATTAGAATAATTAGATCAATTTTTATTAAGAATACATAATAGTGTAAAAAAGTACTTTTGTAGTGGGGGTATGGTATTTTTTAAAACCCTTCCTTTGGCCAGACAATTCGTATTCGGAGCTAATATTTTTCGCCGCACTATCAGGTATTTCCAGCTGAAAACGGTTTTTGTCTTTGCCGACATAAGACACCTGAAAAAATTTATTTTAAATTTTAATTTTATATCGACCAAGACTGTCCAAGGAACCATTTTAAAAATTAAATTGTAAATTAGAAGGTAATTAAATAGAATGTAAGAAATTTTGTTAATTATAGGCTGTGAATCTAACAGATCGACAAGCCATATGAACAAAAGTAGCATTTCCAAAAACCAGGAGGGTGGAGAAACCCGAAAAATAGACCAATTGGAATGCTGTTATGTTCAATTTTTTTTTTTAATGGTTCCTACTCACAGTAAGTTGTTTTCCAACAATCCAGATTTCCACCCCGTTACTTATTTATTCACCAATAACCCTGTTGAAGAATGTACCAAACTCATAAAGCAAAAACTTACCGAGAATTCTATTAACGAATTTGTAAAAAATGATATAATAGACCTCTTAAATATACACCTACTAATTATTGTAAATTCAATAATAAATTTTATGAAATGAAAGGGTTACCAATGGGGTCTCCACTTTGTGCCGAAATATTCGTGGATAATTTTGATAAAAAATCTTTTCAAATCAAAGAACGAATTAATTAAATCTGTTCAATTAATTATATACAATTTTTTTCGAAGTGAAAAATTTGTATCAGGCGGGATTCGAACCCACGACTTTCGGCTCAATACGCCGCTGCTTTACCACTTGAGCTATCGTGTCTTCGATCGACCATGCCACAAACTTCTCATTTCGACTACCCGATTTTATTCTAATTATAAGCAAATCGCGGCTTCATATAGAAACACTTTTTATTAACGATTATACTAGATTAGCGGGACTGTGTACGATTCATAGGTGTGATTCTAGATTAATACTAAATTTTATCAGCTTCTATTAAATATATAAATAATTAATTGAACACAATTTTTTTCGAAATGAAAAATTTGTGTCACAGGCGGGATTCGAAAAATTCAAAAATTTCAAAAAAAAATTCGGGTAGTCGAAATGAGAAGTTTGTGGCATGGGCGATTGAAGTCATGGTAGCTCAAGTGGTAGAGCAGCGGCGTATTGAGCCGAAAGTCGTGGGTTCGAATCCCGCCTGTGACACAAATTTTTCATTTCGATAAAAATTGTGTATAATTAATTGAGTATTTATATATTTAATAGAAGCTGATAAAATTTAGTATAAATCTGTTCTTTTTTGGAAATGTTATGTAGATAATATTTTATGCATATGATCAGGAACATTAGAGGATCTCAAAGAATTCCTCCAACTAATTAATTCTCTACACCGTAATATAAATTTCACATTGTAAATTAACAAAGATGGTTGTTTGAACTTTTTAGACCTAAAATTGTCCATAATACACAACCTAATAGAATCGACGTATATAGAAAACCCACAACTACAGACACTGTGATACCAGCGGATTCTTCCCACCCATGGTCCCAAAAGGTTGCTGCTTTCATTTGGCTCATATTTGCCTCATAGACCGTGTGCTGCTTATTTAAAAAAAAAAAAAAAGCTGGACTACATTTCTATGTTGGCGACCTCACCGCAGTCTGTTATGTCCAAGAAATTATCAAGGAATACAACCCTCAAAACTGGGATCTCATTGGCAGGGATTTTCTATTTCTGTACGACAAATGCCAGAACCTCACAGAGGCAGAGTTGTTCATCGACGTTTAGAAAACCCGAGAATTTACCATCTGCCCCTTCCCCCATTGTCTCCAGACCGCCAATTGACCAATAAACAAAATTATGGAATTAAGACCTTTTATTTTGTTATTTTTCAAAATCCCTTAATTAAATAATTATTAAGGATTAAATAAAAATAAAATAAAAATGCTAGGAAAAATAAATACTACAATTTGGCAATAGGACACCACCACTCTCACATTTAAAAAAATTAATATTCTTTAATAATGTATAAAAATAAAACTAACCTTGCCAAATTTCTTGCACTGCTCTTTCAAATAGCTGTCGAGTTCTTGTTTGATCTCGTTCAGCGTTTCTATGGCCGAGTCGTACTCTGCGTCGACTCCGCGACTCGGGATGATCCTGCCTTCTTTCTCCGCCTCTTCGTGGTCAAACGCTTCCTATGTTATGTCACGTGATTTTATTAATTTAATAAAACAATTTTATTCCAAAGGCATTACGTTGAAAAAGTTGAGGTGCTTCCTCAAATCGGGGAAGCCACCATTATTGATCCCGGTGGGGAAGTGTGTCACGTTGACTATTATCTCAGACTCGTTCATCTCATCACAATCTGTAAAAAATTACATTTATATTTATATGCATTTAACGAAAAAATGATAAACAATTAAAAAGAAAACAGAAATTTATTAAAAGTTTATTTTTTTATTTTTAACACGCTTTGTCCAAAAATACAACAATCAACCAACTGGCAATATTTTTCTGTCCTAGTTTGCCCAGAGAAATCCAGTCATAGAAAATGATATATGAATGCACCTCAATGTTATTATTAACATACTACAATTAATTAAGGTTTTTAGTTGAGATAAAAAAGTCAATGGCACTTGCGGGATTCGAACCCACGATCTTCGGCTAGATACGCCGCTGCTCTACCACTTGAGCTATCGTGACCTCGATCCACATGGGCACCAAGTTCCCATCTCAACCCCACCTTTTGAATTTTCCCTCCTTTTTGCCATTTTTTCAAATGTCGTGTAATCTATTTGATTCTAGCCGAAGATCGTGGGCTCGAATCCTGCTCGTGCCATTGACTTTTTTATCTCAACCAAAAACCTTAATTAATTGTAATATATTAATTGGTCAAGCGGACCACGAAATTAATGAAGTTATTATTAACACTTATTACAACACTAAAAAACAAATTGATAAATAATATAGGTAGGCAATAAATTGTCTTTTCCACAACAGGCATTTGTTTCATCACGCACGCTTCAGTCTAATATAGACCATCTTCAGTGACTAGATAACAAAAGCGGTACAAATTGTATAATAACTACATACAGGTAATTTAAAATTATGTATATTTTTTTTATATGAAGTGGTTTAACAATTTTTTACATTTTTATAAGTTTAAAAGTGGATGTTTGGACGACTATGTTACCTTTGATAAATAATAAAATTTTATAGTCCACTATACCTTGAACCAATTCGGCAGCCTTCTGTAAAGCTTGGAATCCTTTGAGTATTGAAATAAATTCCATTATTTTCCTCTTAGAGTAGATCTTTTCTTCGAACATCACAGCACGGTTTTCCGGATGGGATTCACTCAGACCTTTGCTACTCTGAGCGTAAATCCTGTAAAACAAATATCAGTACAGAAACTTTCGCTTTTTTTTCCCCGCGCTTACCGTGAAAACATGCGTTCCAAATCAGGTACTTTGGACAGAACGTCGGAAACGGTGGACAAAAGGGTGCTGTTTTCCTTGAGCAGCCGGACGGCCTGCTGTCTCGCCTCGATGCTCTTGGTGTTAGCAAGCGGGCTGCAGAGCCACTGTCTCAACAACCTAAACAAGAACAAATAATTTAAAAAATATAATTATTCGGAAATCGTGAGATGCGGTCTGGTGTAATGTAGGTTTCAAAAGAGAAAATAAAAGAAAAAAAACCCTATGTCACACCAGACCGCATTTCACGATTTCTGAATAACCAACGAGTAACAATCACTAATCACCACAAAAAAAAAAAAAAAAAAAAAAAAAAAAAAAAAATTAGAATTAGAATTATTATTAATTTTTTTTTTTGTGGTGATTAGTGATTGTTAGTCGATGATTATTCGGAAATCGTGAAATGCGGTCTGGTGTGACATAGGGTTTTTTTTCTTTTATTTTCTCTCTCACTCTCTCTCTTTCGAAACCTACATTACACCAGACCGCATCTCACGATTTTCAAATAATTATACTTTTTTAAGGAATTTAGAATTAATTATACCTTTTTCCAAAAGGAGTGGAACAATGGTCGATACGGTGCAGTAAAGTCCCTTGGAGCCCCGTGTTATTTTCTATGACGTTTAAGTTCTTTAAAGAAACAGCATCTAAAATCTATTTTTTTAAAGCACTATAAAGTTAGGGTATATAACAAAGCTGTAATTGTTAATGTAAAGCAATGTTAGATTAAAGAAAGTTTTACTTTTTTTGTTTTTTAATAATATCTGACTCAAAATTTCAGAAGGTCAGAACACGACTACCAAATAGTCCTAATAAATGATAAAAAACGATTATGAGGTATTAATACGTTAAGTTTTCATGCATCAGGGACAGGGCTTATCAAGATAGAGTCAACCAGATGGACTTTGCCCCAAATGAGACTGGAGAGGCTGGGTCGAGAATGATTAAGGTAAGGTGTAATTGTCAGTTCATAGAGATTATGGGGTGTTGTAGGGATGACATACGCTTATAAGGACTTTGACTGTCAGGTATTTGCTTTTCCCCGACCCAAGAGAAACCAAGTTGATAGACCTAGGGAAATAAGGCTAGTCAACAGACAAACCAGGAGGCGAGAAAAGTTCCAAGACTAATAGAGTCAAGTCGACTAAAGAATAGAGGCCAGTAGATTTGCAAGTCAAATAATCTCCCAAGACTAGAAGAGTCAAGCGATGAGTAAAGTTGACTACCAGGAGAGACAAGTAATGTCATTAGACTAGAATAGTCAATGAATCAGGAGAGCCAAGAGAAAAGTAAAACTGATAGACTAGGAGAGTTAAGAGTTGAGTAGTGACTTTAGACTAGGAAATCAAGATACCAGGCTAGTCAAGAGACAAACCAAAAGAGTCCTGAGACAAGTAAAGTCCCAAGACCAATAGAGGAGTTGACTAAAGAAAAGAGGCCAGTAGATTTGCAAGTCAAATAATCTCCCAAGACTAGAAGAGTCAAGCAATGAGTAAATTCACTAGTTTCGTGGTCAGCTTGACCAATTAATATCTTACAATTAATTAAGGTTTTCAGTTGAGATAAAAGTCAATGGCACGAGCAGGATTCGAACCCTCGATCTTCGGCTTGATACACCACTGCTCTACCACTTGAGCTATCGTGACCTCGATCCACTCGGACACTAACTTCCCATCTCAACCACACCTTTCGAATTTTCCCTCCTTTTTTCCATTTTTCAAATGTCGTGTAATCTATTTGATTCTCGGCGACAAACGAAATGGCCACGGAGAGCTTTAGTGAAGTATACTTCATTTTAAACTTATTAAATTCACTAGTTTCGTGGTCCGCATGACCAATCTTACAATTAATTAAGGTTTTCAGTTGACTTAAAAAAGTCAATGGCACGAGCGGGATTTGAACCCTCGATCTTCGGCTTGATACACCACTGCTCTACCACTTGAGCTATCATGACCTCGATCCACTCGGACACTAACTTCCCATCTCAACCACACCTTTCAAATTTTCCCTCCTTTTTGCAAAAAGAGTTGAGTAAATGGCTTTAGACTAGGAAATCAAGATACCAAGCTAATCAAGAGATAAGTAAAGTCAACCAGGAAAGTTGATAGACAAGTATTGTTCTGAGACCAGAAATTATTAAAAATTAATTATTTAAAAGTAATTTAATTATACAAGTCATTACCATGTTTCGAGCAGTTATCCGAGGTAAAGTTTTTTCTGAAGAGATCGACACGCTGGCTACATCGATTGGCGTGTAGATTTCAAAATGCGCCATAGAAAGGAGCTGATGGTCGAGTAGTGCTCTCGTCAAAAACCAAGTAATTGCTCCTAAACAGCTCACTGCCATTTCACTTTCTTGCGAAGCCGTCAAACCGAGAGAATCAACTAAAAAAAATTATATATTAGAAAAATGTATTAAAAAAAAAATCTTGAAATTATACCTTCGCCAATGAACGATTTCAAAGGTTCAGGGGTGACGCCATCCTGGAAATACTTCTTCTCAGCAAGCTTTAAAAGCGAATTGGATGATGTCCAGAATTCGCTCTCAGGGGTTAGTGCCTCCTTGAGAGTACTAGCGACGACTGTATTAAGGATCTGGTGGGTCCGTTTGGAAAGTCTGTTTCTTTCAAATAATACCTTAAAAATAAATACATAAAGAATAAAATTAAATTAATAAAAAATGTTTTAATCTTTGTTACCTGTACAGGAGGATAAGTAGCTAAAAGTGTCCTTAGCCTGGATGAATGCCTATCATCGTTGAACTGGCCGATGTGGAACGTTCCAATTGACGTGTCAACAAAGCATATCCCATAAGAAGATTTTGTGCTATCGATTTCCTTTAAAAAATGAACGAAAAATCATGAAAATGCTAGAAAAAGTTTTAAAAATTATTACTTTTTCAGCTATTGCGAGTAAATAGCTAAACTGGGCTTCCTTCGCTTCGCCGTCATTGATCGAAAAAACTCGTGTCCCTTTGGTCGTCATCTGGCAGACTTCACGGCACACAACTTTGTCGAACTTGGTTGCACCGTGTACTAAAATTTAATTTATTTATATATAAATATAAACAAATATTTTTATATATAAAAACAACAAAGATGGTTAGTTCACAATTGATAATTTAATAATATTTTACACATTCAATGGTTTTTTGAATAGCTGAGTTATTTTATATCTTAAGTTAAGAGCTTTAGAAAAGTAATCAAAGATCCAGTTTAGCTGTTCAGAAATCTGCATATCTAATAAATCGTGCATAGAGTTGCTGAGAGGTCGGGCGTCAAGATGGATTTTAAGGTCATTCAAGCAGGAAGTGAGTTAATGTGTCATACTGCCAAAACATGTAATGCAGGATCAAATTGATTTTTTTTTCTATTGAAGTACAAAAAGATTGTTTATTACCGGCCAATCTTAATTGGCAGATCAGACAAAATATTTTTATGATTTTTTGTTTAATGGATAAGAGTCGATGGAAGTTCCTAAACTACTTATTAATCTATAAGGATAAGTGTTCTTTGAAATTATTAATACTTCAATGTCAGTATACTGTGGTATTCAAATCTTTCTTTTTTTTAAATATATATTAGTACCCTGCTTTTGCTATAACTCTTGTGATCTTATAGAAATAAAAATTTTATGTAGGTGAGTATACTAGTTAAAAGGAATGTTCTTATTGTCTTTTAAGGTGGCCATTCACGATCGCTACAGTCAGCTTTCTGGGAGCATGGATTTCCAAGGAGCAATCAGTTAGAAACAAAGTTTTTGCCAAAAATTCAGAGCTCTTTTAAAACTTTAGTTCTCAGATTTCACCCTGTTTCTAATTGGACAAAACAGCTCAGAGTACTAACAGTAGTAGCAGTACTACTCAGAGGAGTAATAAGTATTTTAATAATTATAGTTGTACTCTTTCCAAATCAGTAATATGGCCAAGAGACCAAATCTCCGAACAATAAATAGAACAGACGAAGTAAGGGAATAGAAGAGAGTCATTTTATATTTCCAACAATCGGAACCGAGAGATTCCAGTATGTCGAATACTCTAGGAATAGAAGCACAGCGTTTTGAAACAGGGTAAGGAGCTTGAAAAAATTTCCTATAGGAGAACGCCTAATATGAATCAGTGTGTTCGTCAGTGGGAGTGGAACATATGTAAATGGTTTGATATTTTGTTCCTGGTTTTTTTAGATTGCAAGCGCAATTGTCGTTTTCAATGTATTTACCTTGAGGTCACTCATTTTACAGTACTCCATAAGCAGTTTTAATTTAAATTATGCATCATTGCATGCAGCAATCGCAACGTCATCAGCAAAAATATCAATAACAAGTATTTATTTTTATTTTCCCATCTTAGGGATAAGTTTTAGTTGTTAAAGTAAGAAAAAAATTAGGGTAAACGATGATAGGGAACGAAGGTTGTAAATCTGAAGGGGCAATCACCCAGAGGGAATGACTCAAATTTGGCAAACATAACTGAAATAATTACATTGTTGGACAGATAGATAAGAACGCCAAAGGGTGTCGCAGACCCAGACTGGAACCACGTAATGTTTTCCACGAACCTGGAGAACATGAAGTTGCAATAGTTGGACAGCCGATCAAATAAATAACTATCATCTAGTTATTTAGTGCTGAAGGGTTGTTACACGGTTAAAACATAGCGACATACGTGGGACATTGTAAATTGGGGTCGCGTCAACCATGTGCACGACACCCGTCTTCACCGGTTCACCTGTGGCATGGGAACTCCCCCGACGTTTGATTTTCTTTTCCACCCCTACTCCGGTAGAGAAACTGGTATAAAAGGAACGACTGGGAAATCAAAAGTCAGTCAAAACCGGAGACACCATCGGGGAGTGAACAGTCAACTCCAAGAGACGATCCAGAACAGAAGCAACCGCACTCCGTCTGGGACTCAACAAGGGAACTCAGCCAGTCAGAGCCAGCGAGGACCAAGTCGGTGGTCAAGAGAACAGACGGAGCTGGGGATACTGTGGACACTAATCATGGCGAGCATCGTTTTGGGTAAGTCCCTTTGTTCATAGACTCATCCCAGATTTAGAGTTGTGTCTCACTTTTAGATTGCTTAAGATTCTGTTGTTTGGGTACCGTTAAGAGACGGAATTGTGTTACAATAAATGTTAAGGAATATACCTCTAGTTTATTGAATTCTAGAACCTTACCTTCCCTTACACAAGAATAAGTAATGACGCACTTAAGGTGGCCATTCACGATTGCTCCAAGCAGGCCAAACGGAGCGACGCCGTTCCAAAAACCACGTCAATGGCAAAAATGAACTGGCGTGCCCGGCTGTGCCGAATATTCGACCGGTCCAAACTCCATCGCGCCACTCCAACTTCTAATATCTACGGCGCGACGACGGCATGGCGCGTTCGTGAATGGGAAAATCTGGCGTGGAGGGTGGGGATTTTGGTGCGGTGGCCTGGTCGTGAATGGGAAAACCCTCGTTTTTTTGGCGCAGTCTCCGTCTTTCTGTCACTGAGCAAACATCTCCGTCGTACATTCTCAAAAAGTCAAAACGTTTATTCTTTATTTGTAATGACATCCAATTGAGATTTTATTGTTGAGGTGATTGAATTGTATGAAAGTTTACCATGTTTATGAAAGTGGTGGACAATGATTATATTACCACGATAGAAATAAAAGAAATTCGATCCTCAACCAGTTGGTCGACGTTTTCAAAACAAAGGATACAAATGCAATGAGAGATGAGGTATTGATAACCCCTAACAATGATCAGAAACCGTAGTAGAGAACTTAAGTTCTTTTTGGTTCATCCCTGTAGCGAGAAATCGTAATGTGGTTGCCAACCTTTCATGTAGTGATGATTTCTCTCATGACTGTCTTTTGTTTTCTAATCAAGGGGGTAACAAGCTGGGGTAAATATAAATAAGACGTTAATCTTTTTTTTGTAAGGTTTTGGTTGAAATGAAAAAATAGTGTCACGAGGGGATTCGAATCCACGACATTTGGTTTAAATACGCCACTGCGCTAACCACTTGAGCTATACTGACTTCGATAGTTCCATCCACTCGGGCACCAACTCCCCATCTCAACCTACAACCTTTCCAATTTTCTCTCTTTTTGCCATTTTTTGGTGTCGGAGAGGATCGAAGTCACGATAGCTCAAGTGGTAGAGCAGTGGCGTATTTACCCGAAGGCCATGGATTCAGATCCCGCTCGTGGCACTAGCTTTTTCATTTGAACCAAAACCTTACAAAAAAGATTAAATAATTGAAAGAACTAATTTGGTCAATAGAACACTAAATATAATGAATAAATAAGACGTTTCATCCATCCTTAAATAGTTCCTCCAATCAGCGGGTTCAAGGGAAAGTTCTTTCATCAAATTCATATGGGTATTACGGCTTCTGTTCAGGAACCACTTCTTACACCATTTTCTCTTCGATTTTTTTATTTTAATATGTAAATAAACAGAAGAGTAGCAGAAGAGATCGTCATACATTTTGAGAAGGTAATTCACTGGTTGACGTTCGGAGCGACTGGCCGTGGAGCGCTCGTGAATGCCCCTCAAATTTCAGGCACTCCAAATGGAGCTGTACGGCTTGGTGCGGTTCCATTTGGAGTGATCGTGAATGGCCACCTTTAGGCCGACTCATCCCTTGTCGCGTAGAGAATAGCAAGCGAATATTGAGAGATTATTCGGCCGCCACGTCATCGTCCGCTTACAATACTGTCAATGTGTATTCCTTCAGCTCCTCTACTTTGCAAAAATGTCATCATATCTGCAATGAACAAAGCGAAAAGTGGGGAGAGTTTTTCTCCCTGCCAAAACCCCCTTGGTCACTATTATTTCTTTCGAGTTCCCATCAGCCTATATGATTATTTTTGTTTGCAAGTATAGTGCTTTTAGTATCCTATTTTGAGCTGATTCCCTGATTATAAAGTTGGTGTAAAGTTTAGAATGAGAAACTGAATCGAACGCTTGTGCAGGTCGATGAAAATAATATAAACTTTGCTCTTGTGTAGTCTAAGTTGTATATTAATTGCCGACAAGAGAATGAAGACTGCATCATTGTTCCTCTGGGAAAACGCGTGATTCAACCCAGAGATTCAGTCTTAACTTTATTAAGCTAGTTGGATTTTTTTCAGAATTTTATTAAATAGATCAAGCAAGTAGTGAATTTATTTTAGTATATTTTTAATATTTAATTGATGTAGATACGGCTTACTTTTCTTGACCCGTTCTGCCATCATTTCGGGCGTCTCGGTCTGCTCCACACGTACCACTTTGTACCCCTTGTCGACAAGGTTAGCAGCAAAGCGGCCATACGCTATCTCCGGGAAGCCGCAATGAGCATATTCACCCTTAAAAATTAAAATAAATAAACTATAACCCAGTACATAAATCCAATGCAAAACTTACTTTCATAAAAGTTAAAGAAAGCTCCTTAACGCCCGTCACAGCATCCATGTGGTAAAATTCATAAAATTTTCCCACTTTGAAGAACAATATGCAATCGTAGTGGTTCCTTTTAAGCTCCCACCATTGCCGCATCCCCTTTAACATTGAATTCTAATAAGTAAAATAATAAAGCCTATGAAGAATTTTCAAAATTCACAAATTAAAACATACAGGTGTGAGGGATTTAAGAAAATCCGATGGGACGTAGAGTGTACGAGGGTCGTAATTGGGATCGTTGGGCCTCCTGCCTTTCCCATCTTTGATTTTATCCGGTTTGAGAAAGTCGTACTTCAAATAACTCCAATTGTAGACATCTCCAACAGAATTCTGTCAACACAAAATAAAATTGCGACAAAATAAAAAAGTAATTATTTTTTTTATTGTTACCTCTTGGGAACTTTGACTCGTAGATGTGGCCGATGCAGCATCAACCTTGACAGAGTTTCTGCTTGGCAGTTTAGCAGCGAACCTCTTACTCGGCCTTCTGTCATTTACTGCCCTTTTTCGCTTCTTACCCTGTACACTTTTTACATTACAAATTTGAACAATATAAAACGTAAATGTCAACCTACCTGTGCGACAGGGCTTTCTTCCTCTTCGGTTGTAGGCTCTTCTGAAACCACAGCATCCTCACCGTCAGACGAATCATCTGATGGTTCATTTTCTAAGTATGACAATCTTGATAAGTCTCAATATAAATTTAATATTTCAAATAAAACAAAAGATTGTTGAAAAAGAAGAACCCTTTGGTTTTATTGTTAGTACTTTTAGTGGTAATTTGTATTTGTGAGACATCTAGGACACTACAGATTAATTTCTATATGGAGAAGCGATGTGATGATTCTGATTCTTCCAATTCTAAATACAAAAAAAAAAAAAAAAAACCCTGATCCTGATTATTTTTCTACATTTATTAGTTATTTGATCATCCATGATCATCTTTGTATATTTTGCTCAAAAATTCACTAGTTTTTGTGGTCCACTTGACCAATTAATATCATTGAATTAATTAAGGTTTTTAGTTGAGATAAAAAAGTCAGTGTCACGAGCGGGATTCGAACCCACGACCTTCGGCTTGATACGCCGCTGCTCTACCACTTATTTACCAGTTATTGTGACTTCGATCCACTTGGGCACTAACTTCCCATCTCAACCCCACCTTTTGTTTTTTGTTTCGTTTTTGCCGTTTGTGTTTCTATTTGTATTTGTCCGGACGACGTTTGTGGTTTTGCTTCTCGCTCTTGATATTGATTTTTTTATGTCGGGTAAATTCCATAGGTGGGGTTGAGATGGGAAGTTAGTGCCCAAGTGGATCGAAGTCACAATAACTGGTAAATAAGTGGTAGAGCAGCGGCGTATCAAGCCGAAGGTCGTGGGTTCGAATCCCGCTCGTGACACTGACTTTTTTATCTCAACTAAAAATCTTAATTAATTGAATGATATTAATTGATCAAGCAGACCACGAAAACTAGTGAATTTAACGAGTTAAAATGAAGTATACTTCACTAAAGCTCTCCATTGTCATTTCATTTATCGCCGAGAATCAAATAGATTACACGACATTTGAAAAATGGCAAAAAGGAGGGAAAATTCAAAAGGTGGGGTTGAGATGGGACGTTGGTGTCCAAATGGTAGCCCAAGTGGGAGAGCAGCAGTGTATCTAGCCGAAGGTCATGGGTTCGAATCCTGCCTGTGACACTGACTTTTTTATCTCAACTAAAAACCTTAATTAATTAAAAAATTAAATCATAGGATTTCCTCCTGTGAACAGATGATCAGTTTATTCGGTCAGAGAAAGGGTAAAAATAATGAAAAGATCTAAGAATGTCTGAATGACCAAACCAGCGAGGAATAGCAGACCAAAAATGATGGCAAATTATCAAATTGCAGATTGATCATCCAGCAGACTACAAGAAAACATCTCACAATTTCAGTCGAACTTTCCACAAGCAGGTGCAACTTAATAGGAATTTGACCATTATTAAAAGGTTCCACATATGGAAATATAAATAAATTGTGGAATTTCCCCATTGGACATCACAACATGGCAAAATGCCTGAACGTATTTGACAGACCAACCTGGCAAGGATAGGCAAATTAAAAACTGATCAGAAATGACCAAATTACATGTTCATCTAGCAGGCATTAATAAATCTTACAATTACAGATGACCTTCCCAAAAGCAGACACCACTCGGAAATGAGATTAGTACTACTTATTATACTACACATATCCAAAATATTAAGTCGTTCCTCTTGTGGACACCCACTGATGATGGCAAAAGGTCTAAGCATGTCTGACAGACCAATTCCGAGAGGATAAGCAGACCAAAATGATCAAATTCAGGAGCCACTTCTTGCACCATTTCCTTTTCGATTTTTTGCTTTTAATATGTAAATAAACAGAAGAGTAGCACAAGAGATCGTCATCCATTTTGAGAAGGTAATTCACTGGTTGACGTTCGGAGCGACTGGCTGCGGTCGTGAATGCCCCCTCAAATTTCAGGCACTCCAAATGGAGCTGTACGGCTTGGCGCGGTTCCATTTGGAGTGATCGTGAATGGCCACCTTTAGGATTCGCAGTTTATTCCCACCCCTCAAATTTCAGGCACTCCAAATGGAGCTGTACGGCTTGGCGCGGTTCCATTTGGAGTGATCGTGAATGGCCACCTTTAGGATTCGCAGTTTATTCCCACTTCCTTTGACACATTCTGTAATTTCTTTCCTTCCAAAATTGGTTAGAAGATTCTTGGATCGTCCGTGTCCAATGAGTGAATTCCATTGTTCCTACATTTTCTTTTTGTCCTTCTGTCTGAGATACTTGTTAATAGTGTGGGTTTCTATGCCATAGAAGGGTCCTGTCAGCGGTAGCAGCCCCTTTTCTTGCAAGGGTGTCCGCTTTCTCGTTGCCTTCTACTCCCATGTGTCCTGGGACCCAGCAGAGGATGACTTTGTTCTGTGTACCTAATATGTTTGGTTTGGTTTTGCAGTTCAGCACCATCCTTGAACTAATGATATTTGAGCTTAGTGCTTTGATGGCTGCTTGGCTATCTGATATTCTTGTTTTTATACCCTTTACTTAGGTTGAGTTGAGTACATCTTTTGATTGCATGAATCTCAGCTTGGAAGATACTGATGTATTTTCCCATGGATTCTGAGTATTTGGTTCCAGGATTGAATACTCCCATACCTTCTTGTGTTCTAGATCCATCTATGTACCAAAGGATGGTGCCATTCTTAAAAGAGGTGTTTCCCTCTCGTTCCCATTCTTTTTTGGTATCTAGATTTATTCGGAAGTTTTGGTTAAATTCAAACATCCTGTTTATGTCGTCTCTCGGAGCCATGAGTAGCAGACGGTCTTTCCATAGTTTGTTGCTATCTCTCCATTTTAGTTTTATTCCTGTTGGACGTTTCTCTTTGGTAAAATTAATGATGGTTTTCTGCACTGTCCTTATTACCATGTGGTGTAGGGGGATTAATCCCAGTACTTTTTCCATGCTAATTGTAGGACATGTTCTCATTGCTCCCGTTATGCAGATGCTAAATATTTGTATTCATTTACAATCTCGATGAGATTGCCCCTGAAAAAAAAAGCGATCCAGAGAACTCAACCTATTCCCTCTCCTAAACACTATGACTTTGGACTTATCTAAATTAACTGTGAGGTTTCACTGTCCACAGTAATGTTCAAATAGTTTGATATTCCTTTTTAAACCAGTTGCACTATCCAATAGGAAAGTATGCTGACGATATAGTTATCGTCAGCATACTTTAATATTTTAATTGTTCTACTACCTATACAATTTCTACATTCCAGGACATTTGGGAGGTCATGTAAAAAGAGAACGAATAAGATGGGGCTCAACTGGCAACCCTGCACTCCACAATGCGCTTTAAAAAAACTATGAAATACCCTCCTCGTTGTGCGTGGATATGTATATGGTACAAATCCATTTTTTACTTTCATTTAAACCCTAATATTTTTTTCTGTAATTTGATCATTTTTGTCTGTTTATCCTCGTTGGATTGGTCTGTCAGACACGCTTTGATCTTTTCATTATTTTTCCCTTTCTCTGACAGAATGAACTGATCGAGTACTAAAGACAAGAGGGTGTGAGGAATGAGACTTCCTGAAACATTACAGTTTGCAAGAAACATGACATCTGTCATTTCCATGTTAAACTCAAATACTAGCTGGGCTGAGACTGACCACTTGTTAGCACACTGATGAAGTACGAGCAAGATCTCGCTTCAGACGAGCCATGACTCGTCCAATTCTAAGCCTTAAAAGGCTTTAATTCTTATATACAATATCAAGACAGTCAATCTGTTTTTACCTGGCACAAATTCATCTGCAGAGTCTTCTAAATTGTCCAGAATGTCTTCAGTATCAGTCGACTGGTCCATCAAATCCTCTGAAGCAAATACGGATTTAAAGTGGTTTTTTATATATTTAAATAATTGTGTTTTAAAGTACCTTCATTGATGATCCTTTTCCTTGACGTTTTGGGTGTTTTTTCCAAGTTTTCATCCGGTGAGGCCCTGGACTTTGGCGTTTTGCCTTTTAAAGGAGTTTTCGTCTTGGAAGGTGTCTTGGCAGGAGTCTTGGCAGGTGTCTTGGAATGAGTCTTGGCATTCTGGTTCGCCAGCGGTGTCCGGGGTTGCCCGGAATTCTCGAATTTGGCAGGCCCAGGGGATTTTGTGAAATAGTTGTACAAAGTGTTCTTCGACATTTCAGAGGATTTTTTGAAAAATACGCCAATATTTACAGGAAAAATACAATTCAATTAAAAAGATTCCGGCAAAGATAAGTCCTGGTACCGCAGCACCACAGGTTATCTTGCCTGGGCCCAAATCCTAATGGGCGGGAAGTGTCCCCGCCAGACCTGCCCTTATCTAAAACATAAACAACGAGAACAGGCGGACCCACAGACAAATTCAAACGTTTCGTTATGAATCATTAGCGTAGCAAAACAAATACATTTCAATTAATGTAGACAAAGTAGGGTATGTACAAATTTTACAAATGATTGAATCATACCAAACTGCATATTGTAATTTTTTTTAGAAAAGGACATAATTTTTTTCTTAAATTCATTTTTTGGTTTATTCTGCCCAAAAAAAAAAAAAAGAATGAGTTATGGCAGATTAACATTCTCTAAAAGTGGAATAATTCTGTCAAACTTTCACAACAATTAATTTCAAGTCTTTGGGTGAGATGAAGCAAACATTGCTTTAATAAATTAAACGCAAAAACCCCCAAAAAATCGAAAAATTTGTTTGGTCTTTTTTGGATGTAAGGCTTGTAGGCACGTTTTTTAACTTATTTTTCATGAAAAACCTTTAAAAAAATGTCTTTTTTTATGTAATAGGCTCTTAGGCACGTTTTTAACTTATTTTTTTATGAAATCCTCAAAAAAACCCAAAAAACGAACATTTTTTTGTCTTTTTTTGGATGTGAAAGGCTCTTAGGCACGTTTTTTTAAACTTATTTTTCATGAAAAACCTAAAAAAAAACGAAAAATCTTTTGTCTTTTTTGGATGTAAAAGGCTTTTAGGCACGTTTTTAACTTATTTTTCATGAAAAACCTAAAAAAAAGTCTTTTTTTTATGTAATAGGCTCTTAGGCACGTTTTTAACTTATTTTTTATGAAAAACCTCAAAAAAACCAAAAAACGAATTTTTTTGTCTTTTTTTTGGATGTAACAGGCTCTTAGGAATGTTTTTTAACTTATTTTTCATGAAAAACCTAAAAAAAATTTTTTTTGCCTTTTTTTGAATGTAAAAGGCTTTTAGGCACGTTTTTAACTTATTTTTCATGAAAAACCTAAAAAAAAAATTTATTGTCTTTTTTGGATGTAAAAGGCTCGTAGGCACGTTTTTTTAACTTATTTGTCATGAAAAACCTAAAAAAAAAAAAACGAAATTTTTTTTGTCTTTTTTTGGATGTGAAAGGCTCGTAGGCCCTTTTTTCATGAAAAAAAAAACAAACAAACAAACAAAAAACAAAAGGCTTATTACAGTGATGAAACAGGCCATAAGAAAATATACATCTAAATAAACTCAACATATGATCATGCATGAGCAAATTGCTCAATGTTAAATAAGTCGCAGACTTTGCTTCGCTTAACTTCAGAACTTGACACAACTAAACATTTTTTTAAACAGTAAAATCTGCTTAAAAAGAATAAACAAGTCAGACATCCACCAGATATGGTATAATAGTAAAATACTACTGTTCAAAACAAAAAGAATGATCAGCTAAGATCCAATATGATTTGTATTTGGTTTGATTTTTCTAGAAAGTACTTCTGCTTTTTTGAAAATGATAATAGGCAAAAGTTTTCAGCTAAGATGAAGTCAAATGGTTCTCATGGCTAATTATGATTTTACAACATGTCTGAACAAAATACACACTAGTATAGACTGACCAGATCATGGACGATCAAGTTGCTTATAAATGTTTGCCTCATAGCAATTGATATTTTTATTTAAACTAGGCTAAATAAAGTCTAGACAAAATAAATGAATAATAGATAATTATTGCAACTTGCAAATCTCAAAAAGCCAGAACAAGGAAGTTTACATTTTGCACTTTTTCATTTTTAATAATATTTTATATATTTTCATTTATACTGCGCTAAATAAACAAGTTATGGCAAAATAAAGAATAATAGATAGAATAAGTATTTCAATTTGCAGATCTCAAAAAGCCAGAACTTGGTAATTTACTACATTTTGCACTTTTTCAATTTTATTAATATTTTATTTATTTTTTTGATGATATTTTTTAGCCTATGATAAATAAACAGGTTATGACAAAATAAAGAATAATAAATAGAATAATATTTCAATATGCAGATCTCAAAAAGTCAGAACTTGGTGATTTACTACACTTTTTCAATGTTATTAATATTTTATTTATTTTTTTATGATATTTTTTAGCCTATGATAAATAAACAGGTTATGACAAAATAAATTAATAATAAATGAAATAATTATTGCAATTTGCAGATCTCAAAAAGGCAGAACTGGGAAATTTACTTCATTTTGCTACGTTTATAATTGAATAATGAAACTACATTATGAAAGAAAAGCAGAAAGAGAAAAAAAGAAACAGGAAAGAGAAAACGAAGATGAAAGGAAAGAAGATGATTTGGGTCGTTTTTAAGATGCCTTGGACCTGAGACAAAAGGCCAATATATGATATTTTTGTTCAGACTGTGCTAAAGAAATAGGTTATGACAAAATAAATTAATAATAAATGGAATAATTATTGCAATTTGCAGATCTCAAAAAGGCTGAACTGGGGGATTTACTATATTTTGCTCTTTTTCATATTTATTAATATTTTATATATTTTTGTTTTGACTGTGCTAAATAAACATTTTATGACAAAATAAACAATTTAAAAATGTAATAAGTATAGAAATTTGCAGATATCAAAGAACTAGAACTGGGAGATTTACTCTTTTTTGCTCTTTTTAATTTTTATTGATATTTTATATATTTTAAAAGTGATTTTGCTTAGATGAGGCTAAATAAATTTTTTATAACAAAGGAAATTAATAATAAATTAAATGTGTAACTCAGAAACTATTAATGTGAAATTTAGGGTGAACATAAGTGAATAACACAAATGGACCTAAAACCCATCCTTGATACCGATAATTTTAGTGTACCTATACTCACAGGATTGGTCTGTCTTTTCAGCATTTCATAACTTCAGTTTGTCTGTGTGACTTCTGTGAAATCATTTATAAAATTGTGAGTGTTATTTGTTTTATTGCCCCTGCTGAATACCCTGATGAATGACTGAAAATGTCAAAACGAGTCAAACCAAACTGTTGAGAACAGGCCAAAATAAATTGAAACAACAAGAAAAACACAGAGGATCGTTAGTGAATAATACAAATAGTCTTAGAACTCATCCCTGAAAACCCTAATCCTGTTTATAACCCTGACCAACAACCAAATTACAGGTTCATCATCCCACTGCACATAATGGTGAAATATCCATCCAAATCCAGTTGATCAGGAATGATGGACAATCCCAGATCGGTTCTACAATTGCAGAAAAACCCTATAAAAATTATGAATATGAATGATTGATCATTGTTTCTATCGTCTCAAAAATGAGTTTTTTTTTAAAATTATGCAAGACATATTTTATTTTGAGAATATTGTTTGGTATTGGGTGTTAAAATAATTCTGGTCTGCGAGTTATTGAAAAGCAGTTCGGATCAACAACAAATAAAACAAATAAATGTACAATATTTAATCAAACTGTGTGAGACTTTGGTTGGAGAAAATTTAATAATGAGTGGATTATGAGTTAAGTGGAAGTTATGGAAAATTTAAAAATTAGTTAAAAGTTATATTACAAGTTATGGAAAATTTTAACTAGAACATTTAACAAAATCATACCATAATAATAATCATTAATAGTTTTATTGTTCCTTGGATAAATATTATTAAAGAAACTTTACAGTTTTGTATTTTTTTTTTTTTTTTTAGGTGGTAGTGCCATTTATCTATTAAAAGACTTTGTCCATAGTGATAAAAATCTTGGACAAAGAGTTTCAGGAAGGATTAAGATAAGTCTCTTCAGTTTGTAAACACACGTTGTCTGTACTTAGGCCATATTTGGCACGGCAAGAGTAAACGTGTCTTAAGTATATACGTAAGGCTGTGAGGAAGAGAAAAGTTTCAACGATCAAAGATATTTTCCAAAATTTAGCAAGATGAAAGACATGACGGCGAGGACAAGAGTATGGGGCAAGCCAATTGAGCAGATGGACGTGTGGCTCGACTCGCAGGGCTACTACAGAAAGCACACGGCCAGGGACGGCACATGCCTTTTCCGTGCTGTCTCAGAACAGGTAGTAAAAAATTTAAATTGATTTTTTGCTTAAAAAAAGTATAAATAAAATTGCCAATCTAGGAAAAGATTTATACCTAAAGATAATCCATCTGGGTATTAACAATATACAGGAATAATTAGTCGTTTCGTTGAATTATGCTAAGGTTTCTATTAAATATTTAGGGTTTTTATAAATTAAAAAAATAATTTATGATTTTTTTATCTGAAAGAATTGTTTTGTTTGTTTAAAAGATATTCATGACACAAGTCTATCATGTGGATATTCGACGACAAGTCATAGAATACGAGATGAAGCATTATGACTACTTTCAAAAGGTGTGTAAATTTTTTTTGAAAAAAAAAAACAAAACTGCTGATATGCTTAAGATTTTTCATTTGTGTTGCAGATGGTCACATGCTCGCTTGAAGAGTATTGCGAAAAGATGAGAAACTCCAGGGAATGGGGTGGAAAAGTCGAAATTGAAGCCATGGCACGACTTTACAAGTAGGAAATTTTTTAAAAATATTATTACATTTATTTATTTATTTTCTATGTGCAACAGGCATGATTTTGAGATGTTTCAAGAAATTGGACAAGCAGCGGAGCCCGTAACTAATTTTGGATTTGACAAAAAAATCTTACTTTGCTATTCACAGGACAAACACTATGATTCTGTTTACACAAAGAATTACATAACGACAGCAGCATTCTGCCAGTGTAAGAAAATTATTTGTCTTTAATTATATATAATATTTAGGTGAGTTTTGCAAAATTTCTCACTTGATTTCAGCCACGATTTATGAAGTTTTGTACAAAAGAGTTTTCGACTTGAAAGAAGTCGATTATGCCATTAAGAAAATGTTGTATGACAAGTCGTCAAGGTGTACGAGAGAACACGTACCCTTTTTAAGCAGCGAGTAAGTAAGGAAAAAAAAATCCTGTTTCTTGTTATAAATTTTTTTTCCAGATTTGCCCTGAGGCTGGAAATGCGAGAGAACTGCACGAATGTAAAAGATCTGCTTGATTTTGGCATCACACCATTTCCTTACAAAGTCGCAAAGTCTTTAGACGCTGAGATGTATCGTAATGTCGAGTATGACACTTGGAACGAGTACAGGAAAGGTAAAAATTTAATTTTTTAAATTATTAATTAACTGAAAATTATTGTTTATTATTAAGGGCTGAGGTATGGATTTTGTGCTTGGACCTGTCGAGAGCTGCAAGTCGGGGTTAAGTGCCTTGTGAAAGAGGGTGAGGTGACACATCATGGTCATATACAGGAGATGTCACCTAATAAAGGTCCCGTAGTCGTCTTTATAGAAGAACTAGGGAAAATGTAAGTAATAAAAAACTATAAAAAAATGGCAATAAGTAATTTTTAACTTGTTAAGGTTGACCGTTCCTTATGATTCGCTTGAACTTCTTCCTCCTTCATCTCAGGCCTCATCACCGAGGCTGTTATATCCGTTGAAACTCACACCTTTACAGCTACAAGGTAAAAGGGACACAATATAAAATGTACAAAATGTAAAATGAGATGTTTTCAGATGACGATAGTGCGAAGGCAAGGAAGACGCTTAAAAACTTAGTTTTTCGTCATAGGCTCAAAGAGGCCGGCAATAACCAATTGAAGGAGTCGCAGCAAGAAAAGAAAATCCAGCTCAAAGAAGAGGAGACACAGAATCCAACCATCACCACGTAATACACTTTAGGATCTTTATATTCTTGTACAATACACAGTTATAAATATAAAAAAAATGTGTTTATTAAAATAATAAAGATTTTAACAGTTTAAATTTATTTGGGTTTTTTTTTAGGAGTAATTATTACGAGCCAGATATGCAGTATCAGCGAGAAGAAACATTTCTTTCTCAGACAGTCACTCAATCTGCACAAGAGGAGAACCCAACTTCTTCAGATAGTGCCAAAGTAGACCACGAGCCTGTGATGGTACCGATTGACCATTATTCGTACAGGTACATGTACCCAGCGACCCCTCCGACACCGCCTATGACTGTTCCCGTCCAAGAGATACAAATGAATCCTCCTTATCCGACAGCGCTTCCAGTCAATCTCATGGCGTCCAAGTCGGTCAACCTTGACGGCTCAGATCTACCGCATTCAGGTGGTTAACACACCAGAGGAGAATTTTTTATTTTTTTATATTTTTAATAAGTCTGTTTTATAGATGTCACGACTCTACGGTTTTTCTACAACCTTGGACTTGATGTAAGTTCTTTTTATTGTTTTCTTAAAACAAGTTTTGAAAAATACTAAAAGAATGTTTTAGCACATGAGAATGAACTGTGTCCAATGGAATAATTCACCAGGAAATACTTATTATGTCAATAAAGTGGCGCCGCAGCCCAATTTTGTTATCGAAAACCCAACAACGCCAGTTTATGAACCAGCGTATGTTCAAACTGTCGCACCCGTCCCTGGTAAACGATACTTTTTGGCATAAATTCTATACTTGAAATTTAAAAAATTTTATAAAAATTGTTAATAGGGCTGAGGCGTAGGGAAGTGATAACATCTTCGACGATGAATCCCGAATGTGAAACTCCACCAATTCCCATGCCGTCAAGGTTCAAGAATAAAAGAATGACCCCGCAGTCACGTAAGTATTAAAATATTTGAATGTTTTTCAACGTTTTAATGAAATTCTTCCAGCGGTTAAGAGAGAGGTAACGTACGAGGTGCCTGTCGTCCAGCAGTGCGACGTTTCAAGCACGACCGGACTGAACATCCCCGTGAATGCAAACTACTACCCTCAGGTCGAATATGACCCTTGCTGCATGAACGTCCCCTACGTCGATTACAACGTTTACGAGTATCAGTCCCAGGCTTACACGCCGACATCCTTCATAACGCCTGATGGTCTCATCTACCAGACCATCCTGCCCGGAATAACCCCGACCACCACTTCCACTATTTAGTATCTAAGTGTTTTTTAGATTTTAAGAGAAGGTGTTTTATTTTTTCATGTTATCACAAAAAAAAGAAATTTTGTTTTTTTATTCGTTTTGAAGTTTAAATTTTTGAAAATAAGCACGCTTTGTTGTGAAATTTAATTATTAAGCTTGTTCTAGTTAAAGCTTGTTTGCATTTTTCTTGCAAATTCTATCGACTATAATTTCATAATTCATGTTGTTACTATGCAATGATAATGTTATAATTGTTCAAAACCAAATAGTAAAAAAAGATTAAAATTTAACTTTTCTTTACTATTACTGTATAATTAACAGGTTTTGAACAACTCAATTTAATAAAAGTTTATTATATCTACTAATTGGTTAATAAAAATGTTTGAATGTTGTAAATTTGTATGATTTGTCCACTCATTTCAATTTTAAGAACGTGAATCTAAAAGTCTAATTATGTCAAGGAAAAAAAATAATAAAAAATAACAATAATAATTTTTAAAAAGACAGGAATCATATTCATCAAGTCTGATATTTCAAAATTATTGTGCTAAAAAGTTCAATCACCACTAACCGAATGCGAACTATTGGCACCGCACAGAACAAAGTGTGGCCTTTCCTCGAGTTTGAAAGAGGTTTTACAACACAGCAATGACAACAGCAAGAAAGTAATCGAACATCTGAAGCAAATAAATGCATATGGTTGCCTTTAATGCTTCTCCACACGTGGTTTCCTTTTCCATTCCTGAAGTGAGTGTATTTATTGGCGAGAATGTATGTGTATGGGTGGGTAGTGGTCGGAATATCGAGTACACCACAGACCCACCAAACTAGGATACATATCTCTTTGTGTGTTTTAGGTAGAATGAATGTATTTATTGACGCAAAAGTGAGTGTGTATGGGTGGGTTGTGCAGGAATATCGAGTACTCCACAGACCCACCGATTTAGGTTAGTATTAGGCTATAATATCTTTTAGAGTGAATGGGAGGCACTGTTGTATTGTAATATTAAATGCACCAGTGGCTCCACATTTTTTTTATTTGTGAATACAGAACAATTGGTTACTGTTTGAGTGAATGTATTTATTAGTGCGGTAGTAGTAGGTCTATGGTGGAATATCAAGTACCCCATAAACCCACCAACCTAGGTTAATATTTTAGATTAATTATTCAGATATCGTGAGATGCGGTTGGGTGTGATGTAGGTTTCAGAAAAACATTTTCTTTCTCGTGCCAACGTTTCGATCTTTTATTGAGATCATCTTCAGGGCCTGGGATTTACAAACAATGTTTACATTTAACAAATACATTTAGGATGTGGCAAATTGAATTTATACAATGCAAAATATATTTTATATTTAAACACTTTGTTTGTCTTGACTTACTTTGTTTAAATATAAAATATATTTTGCATTGTATAAATTCAATTTTCCACATCCTAAATGTATTTGTTAAATGTAAACATTGTTTGTAAATCCCAGGCCCTGAAGATGATCTCAATAAAAGATCGAAACGTTGGCACGAGAAAGAAAATGTTTTTCTGAAACCTACATCACACCCAACCGCATCTCACGATATCTGAATAACTATCGATTAAAGGTCACTAACCTCTACACATTTTAGATTAATTGTACATAATGTATGGATGTATTTATTAGCGTGAACGAGGGCGGGTCTTCAGAGGAATATCGAGTACTCTGAAACCCGCATATAGGCTGGGCTAGGATTGAATGTTAGTGAATGAGATAGTTTCAGAGCCTTTTCACCACGCGTGGGAGGGCTAAAAATAATTATATAAATAATGTCCCAGAACACAACCAGAAAGATTGCCAGACTTCCTACAGAAAAGCTAACTTTTAAAAAAATTAAATAAATAAATAAAATATATAAATAAATAAATTTTTAAAACGTGAGGTGGAAGAAATGTGAGGTGCCGGCAATAGTCCAGGCAGCGGGGGGGGGGGATCATGTCTAGTTAAAAAAACAAAAACAAAACAAAAGCAGCAAGTAGGCTGATCATCCTTAATCTACTAATTTAGCAAATCTTGCTTAGGAACTTCAGTGAAAGTCAGAGATGTAGATTAACAAAAAAGTTATCATTAATAAATAATAAAAACAAAAACTAACAATTATTGCATAACAATTAATTAAGGTTTTTTAGTTGAGATAAAAAAAGTCAATGGCATGAGCGGGATTCGAACCCACAATCTTCAGCTTGATACGCCGTTGCTCTACCACTTGAGCTATCGTGACCTTGATCCACTCGGACACCAACTCCCATCTCAACCCCACCTTTTGAATTTCCCTCCTTTTTGCCATTTTTCAAAAGTCGTGTAATCGGATTGGATTCTCGGTGACAAATGAAATGGCCACGGAGAGCTTTAGTGAAGTACTTCATTTAACTTATTAAATCCACTAATTTTCGTGGTCCGCTTGACCAATTATTATCTTTCAATTAATTAAGGTTTTCAGTTGAGATAAAAAAGTCACTGGCACGAGCAGGATTCGAACCCACAATCTTCGGCTTGATATGCCGCTGCTCTACCACTTGAGCTATCGTGACCTCGATCCACTCGGACACCAACTTCCCATCTCAACCCCACCTTTTTTTGAATTTTCCCTCCTTTTTGCCATTTTTCAAATTTTTCGAGTAGATCGAGGTCATGATAGCTCAAGTGGTAGAGCAGCAGCGCATCAAGACAAAAATCATGGGTTCGAATCCCGCTCGTGCCATTGACTTTTTTATCTCAACTAAAAAACCTTAATTAATTGTAATGTATTAATTGGTCAAGCGGACCATGAAATTAGTGAATTTAATTATTGCATAATTTGCCCCTAAATTTAAAATTGTTAAGAAGATAAAACTCGTATTGATCAAGTTTGACAGTTCAAAATCATTGTTTTCTCTTCAGCTACAAATTCCATATCATCTTTAGCGTATGTCCATCACGCATTCTTTTCTTTTGGCTTTTTGCGTTCACCTTTAAACATTCAGTGGATAATAAAAATGTTCGAATGTTGCATATTTGATTTGTCCTTCAATTTAATTTGAAGACATGAATCTTTACTTAAAACTTATTTTTTGTTTGATACACGATAATCCTGAACATGTTGGAAGTGTCATTTATTAGTTGACATTTGTAGTCTGATTATCCCTGATCCTCTGATTTAGAGCAAATCTCGAACTTCACTGGGAGCCTTACGTATCGAAGATTAATAAAAAGTTATCCTATAAAAGTAATAAATACAGAAGCTGTTTATTATTGAATAATTTACACAAAAATAGTTGTCATTTTTAAAATTACACCATTTTCACCGTGGCTTATGTGCCATCATGCATTCCCTTTTGGATTTTTTGTGTTCACTTGTAAATATTCATTAGTTAATAGTTTGAATGTTTCAAAATTTACATGGTTTTCCGCTCATTTAAATTTTAATACATGAATCTTACCCTTAAACTGTAGCTTTGTCATCATTGAATCACCTCCGATTTAGGTAATCATGCTTAGGAATTTCACTGGAAATAATAGATATTGAAAGAATAGAAAATACTGAATATCTACCTTTAAAAACTAATAAAAACAACAACTATTATCATTGCATAATTTCTATTAAAAAATGGTTAGAATAAAATTTTTAAGAATTTTTAATAATAGAAATAATTTCCATCGTGTTTGATAGTTCAAAGTAATTGTTTATTCAGTCAGTGGGCCACTGCCGTCGTGCATTCTTTCGTTTTTGCTTGGTGTTAACTGTCTTGTTGACTTACTGACCTAGCAGGAGCAACCAAGGTTGCAAAATCAGCGCTGTGACCCACCTCTCAATTGGTTTTACATTATTTCAATTTACGAATTTTAAAGGTGTTTGATTAATAGAAAAAAAAAGTTCTATTAGGAAAGGAAATTACGAAAAAAAACCAGGACTTTTATCTGTTTTTATTTTTATATAAAGCAATAAGCAGAAAAAAAAGAGGAAATGATTAACAACAAATAGTCACTATTTATGTTATTTAAAAAAAAAAAGTTTTCATAGAAGACTAGCAACCATTTCCCTCAGAATACAAGAGTACAAAATACAACTAATAATATAGAGCACAATATAAATCTTATTCGTAAATATATAAATAAATGGCTTAGTTTAAATTTCAGTTCTTACAAAGAAAAACAAAACAAATAAAATTACATAAAAAAATTGGAATGATGCTAATTTTGGACCGTTTTGTAGAAAAAATTCAAAATTTGTAAAAAAATGTATCAGTACAATATTAATTAATCAATAACCTTATCAATTAAAAAATATTCACAATTTGTAGTATACGACAATATAATATTCAAAAGCATGTCTTTTTCTCTACACAGCTTTATAGTTATTTTTAAAAATTTTTTTAAAAATTTATTCCACCTTAATGAATGACTTTTCTTTAAAAAATTCCTACGATTGGGTACATAAATAAGTAATGTAATGACAAAGTAAAGTTTTTAGATTTTTTTTTATAATCTTTTATAAAATATAGAAAACGTTTGATCCCGTCTTTTAACCGAGAAAGGACGTGCTATCACATTTTATGCCATCTTCTCCTGATTGATAACTGAAAAATTAAACAATAATTAAACTGTTTTCTAAAAAAAATTAATGTTTTTAATTGTATTTACGTACTTTCTGTAGTAGGCAGTGGGTTCTTCTCGCAAGTCTCAGTATGCTTCAGTTTTGTAGTGTCGAAATTCTCAATGCCCTTGAAGAGATTCAGCTGACCCTTTTCAGCCTCGATCACTGCAAATTGAGAATTAATTTAAAACAAAAATAAAAAAACCTGCTTCCCGCTTTGGTTAATACCATCAACATTCAAGCGGAAAACTATTTTGATTACATTATTTAAAATTTCAAGAATCTACTGACAAATGCAATTGTTATTCACTTTTTACATTTTTTCCATGCATACAGGCTGATAAATTGGACTTGTATAGAATTTTACAAGATTAGAAGAAAATTTGAAACTGTAGCTTGATCACCCCAACATAACATTTTGCCCTGCTGCGTCATTTTCAGCGATAATAGGCCAAGATGATCAGAAATGATCAAGCCACTGTGTTTTGTCAAAATTCTTATCTTTAAAAGTCTAAAAAAATTACATTAAGTATTACAAAATATTGTTAGTCGCTTTTCTTTTGTTATGCACTGTTTACGTCTTGTTTTATCGAGTTACCTTCAGGATCTGGTAGGGTGTTCATTTCCTTTGTTTCGGTATGTTTCATTGTCCTTTTGTCAAAGCCTTCTACACCGGAGATAAGGTTTTGATGAACCTTCTCCTGCATAACAGCTACACATGCAAAGCAAAATCACACGCTGACACATTTAAAGCATTAAAAAATGCATACACAAGCTAAAAAAAACTCTTGGTCTATTTACCATCTTTATCTGGGAGCGGGTTCTTCTCCTGGGTCTCGGTGTGCTTGAGCTTGCAGGTCTCGAAAGACTGCACTCCGAGCAAAAGGTCCCTCTGGGTCTTTTCGATAGCGACATCTGTCCCAAAGGAAATGAGAGATTGAGTTTTAAAAAGATATTCGTATCGAAAGAGAGTGAGGTGAGTGATTTAAATTCATGGCACATGCAAAGGATGTAGGTGCGTTCACCCCGACATCCTGTCATTCTTCTCGGCAGCCCTTTTATTTAAAAAGGAATCTGGAGAAATGCCCAGTCAAAACTAAACCACACAGTGTTTTCCCGTCCTGTTAAAGTTTTAATATTGTAAAATTGATTAGAAACTAAGCACACACTACTATTAAAAATTAATTATTATTTACCCAATTTATTTTAATATGATTAAGCTTTCTTCATTTTATATTATAAGAGCAAAATCAATTTTTATTATAGTGATTTCTTGAATATCAGCTAAACTTTTTTTTTATAATTAAACTATAAACTAATTTTATTTTACAAAATCTTTAAATAAAGTTGTTTTTAAGGCCACTGACCAATTGCAAAGTTGATTAACTTTCAGCAATTTTTTTCCCCAACAAAAGAGTTTAATTACTCCCATAATTTAATATTGATTCAACTGCCAGTAACAAATTGCCTGAGATTTGAACTTCAAAGGCAAAATAGGCAATAAGCTAGACCGAGTAATATGATTCATTCAAAACCAATTGAGTATCTACAACATTTATTGCATAAAACTTTGTAATCTGTGAGTCAGTGACCTCCCATTGTTAGCAACTACCAATTGGTCGAATGAGTCACTTTTATCAGCGTCTACTTTGCCGTTTGGCGTTTTGAACATTGAATAAAATTTGAGCCTTTGGGATTGAATACTTCTCTGATGACCTAATGGCTGTAGATGGCCCAAGGTCTTGTGCTTGTAAACAATCCCTTCTCCATGGATCTGTTTACTAAATTCCAATCACACAGTTCAAACTTTTTATTATTTTGTTTAAAAGTAATTAAGTTAAAAGTCGTCGATAGTTAAAAATTATATTTTATTTACCAGAAAAACAATTTCTTTAAGCTAATCCTGCAAAAATCTGTCCTCAAAGCGATTCACATTTGTCAAACATTTTATTTTAATAAATAATCCTAAGAGAAAAAATTTATCCAAATAGAATAAAACTGCTCAAAAGTCTAACAAGACGTGAAACATAAAAGTTGAACTTGAAAAAAAGGGCAAAATACTTAAATTAGACATGTAGACAAAAATAATTAAGGATATTTTGATAGCTATTGAAATTTAATCTAAATTTAGTTAATTCAGGCTGATAAAAAACCCCAATAACACTATTATTAAAAAGTAACAACTGAAAATTGAATAAAACCATGAACTTGCAATATTAAAAGTTCATGATACATCAAACACATGTATATATTAGGTTAAAACATTTGGTAAAAGGGTAAAAAAACACCTATAAGTAAGAATATTTCTCGAAATATAAATTTTGTCAACATTTTACGATATAGCAGTGTGATTTCTACGAATGTTCGTTACTTCTAAAACTTCTTTAACAATATTAAAGTTCATTATTAAACATATTTGCACAAAGATCCATTGAAAGTTTAGATAAGGTTGAAAAAAAAAATTCATAAGAAGTAAGAATGTGTCATGAAAGAATCAGGAATAAACAAAATATTTATATTTATGTTATAACAATGTAATTTATTTATTATCTTGGTGATGTTGATTTGTTGGCATTAAATAAATTTGGTAAAAACAACCGTTAAAAGCTTGAGAAAAAGCTGAAAAATTGAAAGAGGTAAAACTATTTCTGGAAAGAATTGATGGGCAAACAAAAAATACAAATTTCTTTAGATATTCAGTGTTTATAACTTTGGTTTGATCAATTTGCTTTATTAATAATATATACTTCCTAAAAGACAAATTAAAAGGCTAGGAAAGGCTGAAAAACCGTAAGAAGTAAGCATAATTCTTCAAAAAACCGGAATAATGTGGGAATATATTTAAATTTATGAAATAACAAAGCCTTTATAAATTTTTGTATTTTAAATAATATTGAAAAATTAAAAGGCTAAAAAACTGCAAGATGTAATGTGTATGCAAAACAATTAAATTTATGCTTTAACTATACAAAGGCTAAAAAATATTACTCGCATAAATAATCTAATAAAACATTTGTTAAAAGGTAGTTAAAAGCTAAATAGTTCCAGTAAATAATAGATATTTCTTGAAAGTAATAAGCATGTGAAATGTATAAATTTATTATATAACGAAAACTATTAAAAGCTAATTTTTGTTCTCATAAACTTTTTTTTTTAGTGAATCAGTTTAATGGTCTTTAATAAAAACTACAGTCTACATTTGTAAATAAAATTGATTCACGGTATAAAAAAATAAGTAGCCATAATATTCTTATGAATAAATAGGGAAAACTAACAAAATTTACAACAAAATATGTACCCAAAGACAAAAACCCGACCATGATATCGTGTTGTTCAAACTATATTTTTATATCGTTATATCAATAACAATGTACTTATTTTATTGTAAACCAAATTAAACAAGATCAAAAATTCATGAGTTCTAACAAAAAATATTTAATTATGATGGTTTGAAAAAAAAAAAAAACACTAAAACACCGGAAAAATCATTTAGTGATGAATAAAATGTTAGTTAAATTTTAATCTGTCACTAAATTATTTTCCGGTATTTTGGTGAATGTGCTTTTAAACCATCGTAATTAAATATTTTTAAAAAATTAAAACTCATGAATTTCTGATTTCATTGAATTAGGTTTACATTAAAATAAGTATGTTGTAATTAATATAACAATAAAAAATACATACATACAGTTTGAAATAAACAGCAAAATAAGGAGTTCAAGTCCTTTTTATCTTTGAGTGTATTTATAATCTAATAAAGTACTTTATTCAGTCGTTGTTACACTATTTTTTATAATGTTCATTTGCTGTATTAAATTATTTCCCGAAAGATCCTTAAAAGGCTAGAAATTATGAAAAAATTGCAAAGATGAGAATATTTTTTTAAAGAACAAGTGAACAAACAAAAAATTTATATTTATGACATAAAAAAACCTTTTTCTTTGGATATTTTATTAGCAATATTATTAAATGTAGTTTAAAAAAATCCAATAAAATGCTGAAAACATTGCAAGAAGTGGGAATATTTCTTGAGAGATTCGACAAACAAACAAAATATTCCTGTTTACGACATAAAAACCGCTTTTCTTTGAATATTTATTGAACAAACAACTGATAAAATGCCAGGAAAGTACCAAAGAAATATTTAAATTTTCATTGGTTTTAAATTGATAATACAAAAGTATATATATATTTACTTATTTCATATTAATTATGATTAGAATTTTTTAAAATCTACCTAATAGGTTTTATACAAATATTAATAATAAAGCTATGTTTGTTAATGATGTTGATTTCACCATGTTTATTAGATTAAACCCATCGAAGTGGGCCACACCCTTGGCCACTCAAGTTTAAAGATTAAAATTAAAATCTGTACAAATAGTTAGGTGTGTTAATTTACGATTATGACTAGCTGTTAATAATATTAAAGTTAAAGTTATATTAAAAAAAAGCATGTCGTAGTTTTTTTTACCCTGCTTATAAATGAAATATTAGTTTTGTTTTTGTAAAAACGACGTTTTATCTGCCATAATTGTAAAACGTTCGTGGATGGATCTTTGGTCTGTTAGTCCACGTTTGTGTACCTTGAGCGTTCGGCAGAACGATTTTCTCGGCAGTGTTCGTACGCTTTAGCTTATCCGTGTTGAAATTTTCAACACCGTGAATGAGCTCGTTTCGCTGCCTCTCCTGCTGCACGTCTGCATCGGATCGGAAAGAACAATTTGAATATAAAATCGGCGGAAGAAGGAGAGTCAGAAAGACTTTTTTTGTGTCTGCCTGGGGGAGAGAAAGAAAGAGAGAAACAGCTGTAGGAAAGTCAGGAATTTTTCGAGAGCCTGTGGGAGAATCGCCTGAGAATCTGGGATGTACAGCCCTCCCTTTCCGGCTACTTTTCGCATAATGTGTCTTTTTTATTAAAAAGAAAAAAATTCAGATTCCTTCCCAAGGAAAATTGCAATTATCACTATTTGCATGTAATTTTAATTATTAACAAAAATTGCATTACTTTGTTTTCCTACTATAGAAACATCACAAAAGTCATTATTTTTTAATTTCATGATAAAATTCTAAAATTAGACATCCAAGATAACAGAAATCAGTTGTGTTTACATTTTCATACAGATCTCCAATAAACACCTCTAGGACAAAGTACATTCAAAATACAAAATCTAATCCTTTTAACTCGTAGCTCAATATCCTTCAGTTTAATATATCTATATATTTTTTAATAAGATTATTTAGAGATCGTGTGGTGCGGTCTGGTGTGACGTAGGTTTTAGAAAAACATTTTCTTTATTGTGCCAACGTTTCGATCTTTGAGATCATCTTCAGGGCTTTCTCTGTAGGGTTTTCTATGTAGATGTGTCATTCTTGTGAGTCGTGTTGAGAATGCCACTCACACTCACAACACGACACACAAGAATGACACATCTACATGGAAAGCAAACACTTTGACACTAAAATTTTTCAACATTGTACACATTTTTTTCTTAATCTACAATTTTCTAGCATTGGATAAATTCATATATATATTTTTTTGATCTAAAATGTTCTAGCAATGTATAAATTCATTTTTTTCTTAATCTAAAATTTTCAGGCATTGCATAAGTATAAATTCATATATATTTTTTAAATCTAAAATTTCCTAGCATTGTACAAATTCAATTATTTCAATTCATTTTTTGTCCACATCCTACATGTATTTGTAAGATTTAAACAACGTTTATAAATCCCAGGCTCTGAAGATGATCTCAATAAAGCTCGAAACGCCCGGATAAAGGAAATGTTTTTCTATAACCTACGTTACACCACAATAAGGATTTTTTGGGTCAGGTGTAGCGCAAACAGTTCACAATTAGAATAGTTCAACGGCCTATTATAACTAGCTAGAATTAAAGATCACCTGCCGTAATTCCTACGAGAGATGAGCCTTTTTTAATAAATGCTAAGTGTGTCTGGCCATTAGTTATTCCCCCAGAGGAGGAAATGCCTGGTGCATGGCGGAAATTCCTCGCTTTTATCGTTCGGCGACGTTAAAGTGGCTGGGCCGTGTTCCGTGTACGATTTTATCGTCTGGATTTTATTACCTATGAATTTTTTTTTCTTGATTTTCCTTCCAACAACCGCCTGGGGATGGACCTTCATAATAGCCAATTAACAATAGCATTAAAACGATGCCGTGTGATGCTTGGTTTTTAAGCCTAAAACGGCTTAATCTCTTAGTGGGTTGACATTGCTTAATAAAAGCTGCTTTTATGAAGCTTAATATGGATAGAGATTCGTTAAAAAAAGTCCTAATTGGATGTTGAAATAGATGGCCTAGTTTTTATTTATTTTATTTTTTTACGAGGGTATTTCAACAACGAGACAACCCCCGGGTTGCCGGTGTTTTTGAAAAAAATCCCATTTGTGTCGGATTCGAATGTAGGGCCGCTGGATTCGAACCCGGGACCTTCACCTTACAGTGATGAGCGACGGTCGACGCCTAAACCGTTGCGGCCACCCACGCCTCTCCTAGATTTTTATTAAAACCGGCTTAATTCCTTGGTGGGCCGATGTTTCGTCAAAGCGGGCCATGAAGCTGAATAAGAAATTCCTTGAAAAAGACCTATTTTGCTAAGAAGGGTGACTGCTAAAATTGGTAAAGCTGCATTTTCAATCAAAACGATTTCATTCCTTGTTTGGGTGAAGTTTCAACAAAATGATTATTTGGAGATCGTGAGGTGTGGCCTGGTGTGACGTAGGTTTTAGGAAAACATTTTTTTATCGTGCCAACGTTTCGATCTTTCCTGAGATCATCTTCAGGACTCAAAGTGTTTGTTTTCCGTGTAGATGTGTCATTCTTGTCTGTCGTGTTGAGAGTCACTTTGAGCCCTGAAGATGATCTCAGTAAAAATCGAAACGTTGGCACGATAAAGAAAATGTTTTTCTAAAACCTACGACACACCAGAACGCACCTCACGATCTCCAAAAATCATTGGATAACGGTCACTAAACACCACACATTTAAACAAAATGTCAATGAAGCTGGTGAGAACAGAATCGTAAAAAAAACCCTCATTTTATGTCAAAATCGACGTATTAGTTGAAACAAGCTATCTCTTTGGTAATTGGTGAAGCTGGATTTCCATCCGAAGTGGGTTTATTTCTTGGCAAGCTGGCATTTCATCAAAACAGGTTGCTTTGATGAAGCTGGCGTGTGTAGACAACCGTTAAAAATTTATGTTTTGATGTTGAAATTGTCATTTTCTATTCTTCTACTATGCATTTTGTTCATGGTGATCTTGGCGTTTCCTTCGAAACGGCTAAATCTCTTAGAGTTCAGACATTTCGTCAAAACGGGATAATTTAATGAAGCTGTTAAGAATTGAAATCGTAAAAAATGGACCTGATTTGATGCTGAGTTTGACATTCTGTTCAAAATGTACTACACTACTTTGTTGAAATTGGTGAAGCTGGATTATCAATCAGACGGCTCTATTCCTTGGTCGGCTGACATTTCATAAAAACGACATTCAAAAAAGTTAGGGTAGAGATTTGTTAAAAAAGGATCAATTTAATGAGTGATGGGACTAGAGACTTAATTTTTCATGGGCAGACATATCATCGAAACAGGCAGTTTTCATTAACTGGAGAGGGTGTAGATTCGTTAACAAAAGGTCTCATGTGAAGGAAAGTTTGACATTTTTGTTGAAACGGGATACTTTCTGGTAGTAGTGAACCAGGATTTTCGTTCAAAACTGTTAAATTTCTTGGTGGGTTGACATTTAATTAAAAAGGGGCTGATTTGATGAAGCTGGTGAGGCTAGGGTTCGTTAAAAAAACGTCAATATGATGATATGATTAACATCAACTAAAACATACTTCATCGTTCAAATTGGTGACTCAGGACATTTATTCGAACCAAGTTAACTTCTTGGTGGGTAAACATTTCAATAAACCGAGCTGCTTTGATGAAGTTGTGAGGATACAGTTTCGTCAAAAGAGGTTTAATTTAAGCTGAAATTCAATAAAAACGGCTTCATTTTTTGTGGGTTGACATTTCACTAAAACTGGCTGAAGTTGGTGACTCTGGACACATATTAAAAACCAGCTTAATTTCTCTGTAGGTTGACATTGAGTGAAGCTGGATTTTTGTTCAAATCTGTTTAATTTTCGGTGAGTTGACATTTCATCGAAACATCGTGCTTTGATGATGCTGGTGAGTATGATTCGTTAAAAACGTCCAATTTATGTTGAAAATTATGGAAAGAAAACGATTAAAAATGATTAAATGCACTAGTTTTCGTGGTGTGCTTGACCAATTAATATCTTTCAATTAATTAAGGTTTTTAGTTGAGAGAAAAGTCAGTGTCACGAGCGGGATTCGAACCCATGATCTTCGGCTAGATACGCCGCTGCTCTATAGCCTGACAGCCTGAGCTATCGTGACCTGTTAACTTCCCATCTCAACCCTCCTTTTCACTAAAGCTCTCCGTGTCCATTTCATTTGTCGCCGAGAATCAAATAGATTACACGACATTTGAAAAATGGCAAAAAGGAGGGAAAATTCAAAGGTGGGGTTGGGATGGGAAGTTGGTGTCCGAGTGGACTGAAGTCACGATAGCTACGTGGTTAGAACAGCGGTGTATCAAGCCGAAGGTCGTGGGTTCGAATCCCGCTCGTGACACTAACTTTTTTTTATCTCAACTAAAAACCTAGTTAATTAAATTATGAAGAAAAAGCTCGAAGGCTGGTGAAGAATTCGTCTAATTTGACGTTGAAATGGTGTAGCAAGACGTTTAAAACGATTTACTTTTTCGGTGGTTTGACATTTCATTAAAATGTACTGCTTTGATGAAGCTGATGAGAGATTAGATTCGTTAAAAACGAGGACTCATTTAATGACAAGAATGACATTTTTGTTAAAACGTCCTACTTTCTGGTAATTGGTGAAGCTGGATTTTCGGCTAAATTTTTGGTGCGCACATTTGCATTGTAATGGGCTGATTTTTATAAATCGGTCGTGGTTAAAGTTTCGTTCATTTGTTGGTGGGATAGAAACCATCCCTTAAATAAAGTTGCTTTGACGAAACATTTTATTTGTGGTGAGTGTCATTTTATCGACATTTTATCGAATCGAAATCCTTTGTTGAAGTCAGGGGTTTAATTGGCTCAATTTGTTGAATTTTGGTGGGGTATAAGTGACTTCTATTGAATCGAAGTCCTTTCTATGTTCAAATCTTGGGGATTAAAACCGAAAATGGTTGGCTGTACACGGCAGTAATAAGACGCAGAATAACCTATGGATCACTAATCTGGTGGATCAAAGCTCAACAAAAAGTAGCTACCCAAACATTAGGCAGCATACAAAGACTAGCAAACCTATGTATCACAAGGGCAATGAGAACAACCCCCTACAAATGTATAAGAAACTGCTAAACCTACCTCCATTGGAAATATTCATACAAGGAGAGGCTAGGAAAAGCTCACTTAGGCTCCAGAAACAATTAAATTGAATGGGAACTAAACAATTCAGGCATACAACTATAATTAACAAAATCAGACACCCATTCTTTGAAATGGGGATTAACTATATGTTCCCGGAAATAATCTTCACAACATCCTCAGTCTTAACGGACTAGAAAGGAGAGGAAGAACACACGGCCCCAAAACAAACGAAGGGACCGGATCGGGCGTTTTCTGTACAAGCCCAAAACATGATCAACCAAACACATTATAGAAGTACACGTCGGTCTTTCAAGCTTATCCCACCAATGCCCTGGAAAATCTTAAAAGAGGTTACACTGGCAAACAAATCCTCATAAGATCTGATAGCCAAGCAGCCATTAAAGCATTAGCATGTAAAAGAATCACATCAAAATTAGTCAGTGAATGCACCCAAAATCTCCAAAACATGGGGAAACACAACTGATGATATCTTGGGTGCCCATGCAGAGCATAGGGGAATTTTGGGTAATGAGAAAGCAGACAGTATGGCCAGAGAAGGATCTGCAAGACCATACAGGGCCCCGAACCTATACTTGGGATAACCAAAACAAATATAGGATCCTCCATCGCAGAATGGATCCAAACAAAACAAAAGGAGAAGTGGATAAACTCGCGGTGCTAGACATAGTACACTTATGATGAAACAACCCTCACCAAGACTGGCAAAATCACTGCTGGAACTGGAGAGGGCTAAACTCAGAGGAGTGATAGGACCGGTCACTGGTATCTGAGAAAACATCCACACAACATGGGCATATACAACGATGATCCCATTTGCAGATTATGTAATGAGGAGGAGGAAACAGCCACCCATATCATCTTCGAATGCGAAGCAACAGCTCACCAACCTAATGTACGGAAAAGACTTAGGGAATCAAATTGCAGCAGCGACAGTCAATGACCTGATACTTCTAAGGAGAAGTATTGAGTCTATTGCACTGAACTAAGGAACTAGGAAGGTACAATAAGCCAAAAGGTTGTAGTGCCTGGGGAACGCAAACCTCGCTTCCTAGTATCCTTTTTACCATACCATACCTTCCTATGTTGGGACTGAGATTTTATTTCAAATGCCTAGACTTGCTGCATTTTTTTGAAGGGGGTGGAGATTATCGACATCGTCTGTTAAAGTTGTGAATAAGGACTTACCCAGCTTGATCGACGTCTTCAATAGATTTCAGCCAGGATTTTCAATAAAAACAGCCCAATGTTTTTAATGTTTTAGGGTTAGACATTTGTTTGAATTGACGTCTTTTGAGTAAGTTCGTGAGTCTGGGTTTTAACTGAAAATCCCTTAGTTTTGAACAAAAACGGAATTTCTTTAATATTATCTCCTTCGTTTAAAAAATCCTGCAATATTTCAAATCGAACAATGGAATTTCTTTCGGAAAGAATCCCTCACCACCGCAGCGGAATCCGCCCCGACCAACCCTGTTTTATCTTTCAAAAGGTTGGAAGGAATAAAGAGGGTCTAAGGCAAAAAAGGTAACAGGGGTTGGTGGGATTTAAGACGTACCTGCGATCTGAAGGGAAATCTTGGTTGAAATGGAATTTTCAAATCTGAGGGGACGTGCTTCAATAAAAATACAAGCCTTCAATTTTGTAAAAACGCATTAAAAGTTATGACCTTGCACTAGGGGTGAAAAAACAAGAAAAACACTAAATATTGTTTAAAAGTAAGATTTCTTTTGCTATAAGCTTGGTATATTAACAAAAATTATAACTAAACCTATTTACAGAGATTTTTGGGGCATATAAAATAAAATGGAGGATTTGGTTGAGCCTAAGGATAGGCCACCTGCTTGTGACAATCTCTTGCTACCGTGACGCTATTGACAAAAATTGAAATGTGTGATTTCGTATACTTGACTAATGGAATTCAAAACGTAATATATTTGTTTTGTTGTAAAGGCGTCGATATGCGTTCCATGGGAGAGGCGTTGCCGTGTAACGGGACTTCCGATTCCCATGGAGGGTTTTTAGCGTTTCCCACAGGCGCTGGCTCGAAAAAGTCCAGTGGAACCCCCTTTTCTCCTCCTTTCCTTTTTATTGCTTATTAAATGAGAACAGGACGGAAACGGGGATATTTACCTTCGGCAGTGGGAAGCGGGTTCTTCTCCTCCGTGTCCGTGTGCTTCATACGATCGGTGTTGAACCCTTCGAGCTGAGTCTTCAGATCGACGGCGACCTTCGGCAGGTCTTTGAGCGAGGGGCTTACCGGCTCAGCTGACATCCTTTAGCCTGCAAAAAAAAATCTTCAAATTATGTGACCAAATAAATAAATGAAAATCTAAAAATATTGTTAACTCGGGTCTGAAGTTCCTTATCGTTTGGGTTAACCCTAAGTTAAAAAAAGAGAGCAACTATTAATTGGACTATCTAATTTTATATTTAATTAAAATTTTTGAGGAAAAACTGGTAAAAAAGGTTTTATTGTGAAAATTACATTTTTTTTTATCAATGTATCAAATATATGTTCAATCAAAAAAGTATGTAAAAACTACTTTGTTTATGGCACAAACGGCCATTATTTCTGGAATAATTTAATAATAACACTATTACGTACGGCATGCTTTTGAAGTAATAAACGTTTATTAATAAATTTGTTATTATTAATTATATTACATTTTTAAAAGTTAATTAATTAATTAAATTAATGAACATACATAAAATTTACTTTGTTTACGGAAGAAACCTATCTAAAATCGAATTTCTTTGAGGAACATGCATAAAATTTACTTTGTTTGTGGTTGATACCCATCCAAAACTTGCTTTGTTTCTTAAACACATAATATTTACTTAGTTTGTGGAAGAAACCCATCTAATACCTTATTTGTTTGTGGAAGGTAACCATCTACAGCCAGCTTTGTTTATGGCACAAACATAATATTTATTGTGTTTGTGGAAGAAACCCATCGAAAATTGAATTTGCTTGTGGCACATACATAAAATTGACTTTGTTTGTGGAAGAAACACATCTAAAATTGAATTTGTTTGTGGCACACACATAAAATTGACTTTGTGGAAGAAATCCATCTAAAATTGACTTTATTTGTGGCACATACATACATAAAATTGACTTTGTGGAAGAAACCGATCAAAAACCTAATTTCTTTGTGGCACATGCGTAACATTTTCTTTGTTTGTGGTAGAAATCCATCTAATACGTTATTTGTTTGTGGAAGAAACCCATCTACAACCAGCTTTGTTTGTGGTATAAACATAAAATTTATTGTGTTTGTGGAAGCAACCCATCTAAAATTGAATTTGTTTGTGGAACATACATAAAATTGACTTTGTGGAAGAAAACCATCTAAAACCTAATTTCTTTGTAGCACATGCATAAAATTTACTTTGTTTGTGGAAGAAACCCATCTAAAATCTAATTTGTTTGAGGAACATGCATAAAATTTACTTTGTTTTTCGATGATACCAATCCAAAAACTGCTTTATTTCTTAAGCACATAAAATTTATTGTGTTTGTGTAAGAAATCCATCTAAAATTGAATTTGTTTGTGGAAGAAACCTATAGAAAATCTAATTTGTTTGAGGAACATGCATAAAATTTACTAAATTTAATTTGTTTGCGGAAGAAACCTATCTAAAACCAATAATGTTTGGGGCATGTGCGTAGTAAAATGGGTACGTTTGTGGAAAATGCTTTTTAAAGCAACTTGCAGGCAAAACCTATACTTAATGTTTTTTCATAGAGGAAGGAATGGAAATAAAACCTACTTGGTTTGTTTAATGAACCTTACTTAATCTAACTTGTGTTAAAATAGGGGCTTTGCATATGACAGAAACCAATATACAATTTTTTAAAAATTTAAGTACATTTTTTACCTTTCTACTAACCCAAGTATTTCGTGGGAAATCAGTTCAAAACGGTTTGTAATTGTTCAGTGAAAAATTAATCTATTCTGTTTGGTTCTATCTCTTCTAAAAACTACCATAACTATATTCTAGCCCATACGTCTGAAATATTAGCTAGAAAGTGAATTTCTTCTTTATGCAATTATGTCCATGATCAAGTTGATAAAGGAAATTCCATCCGATTTAATTGTTCTGAAAGGAGTGATTTCAAGGCTGGTAAACGATACCATCTATATTTAGCACTCATTTCACCTCTATATGGACGTACCATATGACCTCCTAAGTCCATAAAAATTAATTGCATGTGCTCTTAAGTAGGTATTATTAGTGTAATGCAAGGTCCTACATCAATCCAATATTTTATACCACTCCTATGAACAACCCATAACCGTTTTTTAATCAACGGGCTTTCAATAGAAATTATTTTATATTACCAAGTCCTGGATAATAATCGTTTGTACTCGTCCCAGACAAATGAACGGTATAACAGAGGTACAAGGACATATGAAAAACCGTCTTTGTCATGATGGTTCCCGTTGGGAAATCCTTCTTAAGAAAATTCCACCTGCATGTCGTTCGAATTACTCCTCGTTTTTCAAGAAGAGCTCACCAAGCGGAACTAATTCGTCTCGAATCTTAGATATAACAACCATGGAATAGCCGAGCCTTCTTTTATAATTATGCAAATGGTAAATGATAATTTCATTTCTCGAATAGGGAATGCTGTTTCAACAAAAACCGTTCTCTAAATTAAACACTTATATCCATTGAAATTATAATTCGGCCAATAAATTCCTAATTAAAAATGCAATATGCTTAGATTTAGAGTTTTTTTTTATTCTAAGGTTTATAATTTCTATGCGATGACAGTTTATTTCGGCACAAAAAAATGTATGTTGTTCAGTCATCGTTCAGTTTTTTAAAATGCTATTTACAAGAAAAATAAAATTAAGTGTGGTGTTTAGTGACTGTTAGCCAATGATTATTTAGAGATCGTGTGGTGCGGTCTGGTGTGATGTAGGTTTTAGAAAAACATTTTCTTTATTGTGCCAACGTTTCGATCTTTATTGAGATCATCTTCAGAGTCTGGGATATATAAACATTGTTTAAATTTTACAAATACTTGTAGGATGAGAAGAAATGAATTTATATTATGCTAGACAATAGCATTGTATAAATTCATTTTTTTAATGAAAATTTTCTATCATTGTATAAATTCATTTTTTTGAATCTAAAATTTTCTAGCATTGTAATAAATTCAATTTTTTTAATGTAAAATTTTCTAGCATTGTTAATTCATTTTTTTTTCGAGCATTGTATACATTCATTTTTTCACATCCCAATTAAATACTAATAATTAATCTAAATTTTTTTAGCATTGTATAATTTCATTTTTTTTAATAGAAATTTTCTAGCATTGTATACATTTATTTATTTTAATATAAAATTTTCTAGCATTGTATAAATTCCATTTTTTTAATCTAAAATTTTCTAGCATTGTATAGATTCAATTTTTTTATCTAAAATTTTCTAGCATTGTATAAATTCATTTGTTTAATATAAATTTTCTAGCTTTGTATAAATTCATTTTTTCGAATCTAAAATTTTCTAACATTGTATAAATTCCATTTTTTTAATCTAAAATTTTCTAGCATTCTATAAATTCATTTTTTCACATCTTACATGTATTTGTTAAATTTAAACAATGTTTACAAATCCCAGGCCCTGAAGATGATCTCAATAAAGATCGAAACGTTGGCACGATAAAGTAAATGTTTTTCTATAACCTACGTGACACCAGACCGCATCTCACGATCTCCCAATATTAATAAAATAAAGCTTCATAAAAAACAAGAAATTAATCACATGGTTATTCACAAAATCGTAAAGATTTTTCGTTTCATGCTGGACAACCAGTTCATGCCATTTTTCAACCAATACCTTACATAATGATTAATTAATTGAAAGATATTTGGCCAATCGGACCACGAAATCTAATGAGTTTTTATAAATTTGTTTCTCTAACAAAGTAGGTTTTATCCATGCTTGTGCCACAATTCAGTTTTCCACAAGCAATTTTTGTATTAGTTTCGTTTGCTCAACCAACGTTGTTTTTTAGGGGATTTTGCCCAAAGAGAAAATTTTGGTAGAGTTTCAACAAACAAAGTCCGTTGAAAGGTTTCTTACACACACGATCTAGATTTTTTATCCGTTGAAAGGTTTCTTACACACACGATCTAGATTTTTTATGAGTTTGTCCCGCTAACATACAATTGCACTTCCTTCCATAATCCACAAGAGACCGAAGTCCTTTAAGACGATTTTAATTGAGGTATTCCAAAAACCGAGTAGGTTTAAATGGAGTGTGTCCCACAGTCTGTTTTTATAGAGGTTTTCTACAATTTTCTGAACCAAAGGACGTCTTTTGTTAAGCGAAGTGAAAATCAAACATTAGTGATTAAAATTTGGTACAAAAATATATTTCCCTGCTTAGAACAGTAAAAAAAAATTCTCTACAGAAAATTTTTCGACCATTTAAATTCAAAATGTTCTTCCGTTCTGGTCCCCCTGGTTTCGCTATGTAGCATAAGTCCGGTTGAACAGAACGATCGGGCTAGCACGACTAATTGTTTTTTCTCCAGACATCTCACGTCGTTTTAATGATCATGTTCTGAACAGTTGGGGCCATTAAGGATAATCTCCGGGCGCGACAATTCCAGCTCACGTTCATCACAGTCCAAATCGCAAATGAACAGGTTTTCTTTCCGTTTCGAAAGGCTTAAATTGAAAACGGATTTCGTTCAAAACGACTTTTAACGGCAAAAAAAAGCGGGTTCAACTTAAAAAGAAATAATGAATCAAAAAGTTTGTATCAAATCTTTTGTCTGGCATAGTTTTTCAACTTTTAAAAAATTTCGTCGTGAAACAAAGGCTTCGTCAGAAATGATGTAAGGAATTGTTATCTCCGGAGGGCAAAAACAAAAGCCTTCAGGGATCAATCGAACAAGTCATACCAGGAAAAAAAGCAATCCCATGCCACGTAAAACAGCGGTTTTGCCCGGCTCTGACTTTATTTGAAACTAAGTACCACCTAGGTATCGTATAATGAGGCAGGAAGAAGTAGAAAAAGTTCAGGATGGCCGATCAAAAAGCCAATTGTGTCAGAAAAGTTATTGAAAATATCAGCCAAACCAACGCCAAAGATTGATATTTTGACTTTTGAGAGGGTAAATTGTGAATACTTTTTTTAAAAAAATATTCAGTTAAGAATTTAATGATATTTCATCCTCCTCCCCGGATGATAAAGAGATGAGTCATACTCCTTCCACAGCGGATGAAAACGGAATATCTCTTCCTAATCAAAGTTCTAAAATGCTAAAAAAAATAAAACACATGATACTGCAAGTTTTAAATGTAAAAGTTTAATCATCCTATGGCCAAAAAATAAAATGAAAAAATCAAGCGTCCAGAACGCAGAGGGTTGGCACATTGGATGGAACTGCTAAAAATTGAAAATTGTCTTGATTTTAATTTGAAAAAGTCATCTGATCCTAGATCGATAAGAATAAAGTTTGTAGTTCATAAAAAATTATTTTCAAAAAACAGCGAGACGAAACGGACCCATAATCAAGTAACATCTTCCTAGCACACAAGTTTAAAACATGAGAAATCTAGCATTAAAATAAGCAACTTCTTTTAAAAATTTTTGAGTCCTTTAAAGTTTTTAAGTTTCCTCTTGGGTTTTTGCCGTTTCCTGGTCCGCCTTGTCTCGCTGTGTCACGTCACGACTTGGTCGGACGGGATGGTCCGTCAGATTTTTTTTATCTTGTAAGTATAAAAAAGTCCTATTTTAATACATACATTTCAATTTACTTGAATGTATGAATATTTCATAGCGAGAATATTTGTTTTAATAGCGAGACGAAACGGACCCATAATCAAGCAACATCTTCCTAGCACACAAGTTTAAAACATGAGAAATCTAGCATTAAAATAAGCAACTTCTGTTAAAAATTCTTGACTTCTTTAAAGTTTTTAAGTTTACTCTTGGGTTTTGTCGTTTCACGGTCCGCCTTGTCTCGCTGTGTCACGTCACGACTTCGTCGATGGGATTGTCAGTCATTGTTTTTTATCTTGGAAGTATAAAAAAAGCCCTATTTTAATAAATATATTTGAATTTTCTTGAACGTATGAATATTTCATAGAGAGAATATTTTTTTTAATAGCGAGACGAAACGGACCCATAATCAAGTAATATCTTCCTAGCACACAGGTTTAAAACATGAAAAATCTAGCATTAAAACAAGAAACTTCTTCTAAAAATGGTTGACTTCTTTTAAGTTTTTAAGTTTACTCTTGGGTTTTGTCGTTTCATGGTCCGCCTTGTCTCGCTGTGTCACATCACGACTTCGTCGATGGGATGGTCAGTCATTGTTTTTTATCTTGTAAGTATAAAAAAATCCTATTTTAATACGTATATTTCAATTTACTTGAACGTATGAACATTTCATGGCGAGAATATTTTTTTTAATAGCGAGACCCATAATGAAGTAACATCTTTCTAGCACACAAGTTTAAAACATGAAAAATCTAGCAGCTTCTTTTAAAATTTTTTGTTTTTTTTTGGTTTTTAAGTTTACGCTTGAGTTTTCCTACTTGTATCGGAAATAATGCCGTTTCCCAGTCCGCCTTGTCTCGCTCTGTCGCAACTACGTCGAATGTGGCCGCCCATCAAATTATTATATTTTAGCACGGGGTTTAAACATATTAAACGCTTAATATATTTAAATTTATGTTGATTAATTAATGGTTGAAACGTCATAAAGGGGGGGGGGTTGTGTTTTTAAAAGGATCCAAGGAGAGACCGAAACGCTAACAAAAGGAGGTAAAGTTTTTTCAATCCCCCTTGGTCCCGGCCGACCCTCAGGAGCGTCAATTAAAAATTTATTACGACGGATCAATAAATGTAAAATAAATAAAAAATCAAAAGCGCGGCTGGTAAGTTTTTCACGAACACTGGATGAAGGTATTGAAGAAAAAATCAAATTCCGTTGTTACTGCCAAGCTTTCGACCTATTTTAAGGTCATCATCAGCGAAAACTATCTTAAATATGTCCGATATATTTATTGTTTTGCCTTGAAGATGACCTTAAAATAGGTCGAAAGCTAAACAATAAAAACTGATTTTGCTTTTTTCTTGACTGAGGTTCGTGAGTGAAAAATTGGTCGATGTTTCTAATACTGGAAACAGAAGCTAAGTTTTTCCTAAACCCCCTGAACTAAGTTGGCAGGGTATGACGACCAATCGGGGCTAAATTGAACAAATGTGACCCCACCCCAATCCCAGGGAAAATCAAGCTGACAAAATAATTTACAAAAATGGAAACTGGATAGCCTCAATAATTTTTGGCCAGTGCTATTTTGACAATTGGGGCTTGGATTTCGTCTGCAGGCGATTATTGGGGGGGGGGGTAAATATTTCTTCACTACGTATATATCTTATAAATGTAAAATATGTATATACTTTTTTTCATATTTTAAACTCGTTTTATAATAGTGTTGAAGAAGAAATTGGAGGGAAACAACGCCCGACGTTTATTATGGCGTTGCATCTTCACCGTTTTCAAGGATACAATAAAAAAAAAATACAAAAACCCTTTGTTTCCCCCGCGTCGATAATCCAAATAGACCGAACCAAATAAACAAAAAAACGCGAGAAAGAAAAACCGTCAGAAGCCGGATAAGACACAAGGTAGACTCACAGGTGTTAGCTGTTGAAACTGTAGGCTGGAGAAAGGAAGATGGTCTTGGGGTGGAACACAGGCGGTCAGGGTTCCGTGGCACTCGATACTCAGACTATGGTCTGGCACTCTGGCTTGGCTGGAGGCGAACGTGGCCTGGGAAAGGTGGCTGGAAATGGTGGGAGGCTGGAAATGGTGGGGGCTCTCTGACTCATTTCAGCCGGCTTTCCATTCCCCCATCGTCGACGTCGACCCCGATTATTCACCGGGAACAGGCCGAAGTTTCGGAACCCTGAGGGTATCCCAATTATCATCTGAATATCTGATACCTACGGTCTATTTTTACCTACGGTCGAAGAACAGGAAATTTTGGGTAGAACGACAACATGGGTGGAATCACCTTGCACCACTTTTACTTTTGAGAAAACGCATCGTCAGCTTTTCACCGCCTTGCAAATATGAAAAAGCATAAACAGACAAAATCATATTCAAAATGAAAATAATTATCATTTTTCGATAAGATATCCAGAGGAGCTACCACCTTACTTTTCGCAATTTTACCCAATCAAGGAACTAACAATACTACTAATGATTATTCGGAGATCGAGAAATGCGATCTGGTGTAGTTTCGAACTTTATTGGAATCATCTTCAGTGCTCAAAGTGTGTGTCTGTCGTGTTGAGAGTGCCTACTCGACGGCCCCAGGGCACTCTCAACACGACAGACAAGAATGACACACCTACAAAGAAATCCTGAAGATGATCTCAATAAAGATCGAAACGTCGGCACGATAAAGAAAACGTTTTTCTAAAACCTGCGTACACCAGATCGCATCTCACTATCTCCGAATAATCATTACATACATCGTTTAAAACATTTTCAATTTTCCTTCGGGTTGTTTCGTTATTACAATATCAAAACGGTGGACTTTTGATTTGAAAATTGTACGCCTTTCTTTGACGCGATATTGGCGATCTACTGACCCTTTCGCGAAGGGTAACCAACCAACCATATTTCACAGGTTTTTTTTTTTAATTCGAGAAAGTAGCAAATCGTTTTCGAGTTAAAATTAGTATAACTTTATAATAAATCCCTTGTTTTAATTCTTTCTTCTATTTCTTAGGAAGAGTTGTTTTTCCAAATTCAAACAATCTAAAGCATAAGATTCTAAAGATTTCTACCACCCAGCCTATGATTTATCAGAAAATAACTATAAATTAAACTGTTCTTGCTTAAATTTTGACCGGAAAATCACTTATGATTCATCAACATTCCGTCCTATTTATCTTCCCTAATAAATAGTACAGCTCATTTAATCGATACAGAACTGTTCGGTCGTACGGTAAATCATTCTCACAAAATAGACCCTAACGTTGAATTACGATGACTTTTATTTTCAATATTTCTACACATTGACGTTCATTTTCTACTTAAACCGTCGTCCTTTATGATTTTCTGGATTTGATTTTGATATACGATCAAAGTTTGATATTTATTTTTTACTACTACAAATATTTTATTCTTGTGGCAAAACTTTTTTAGGACGAGAAAGGAAAATTAGTGAGATAATTGTCGTTTTAAAAGATGAATAAACTATTCAAAACTCGCTTTTTGATTAAATATCGCCTTAATAATATACTTACATAAAATATAATTCAAGGTCACAATTCACTGTTACTACTACTAATACTAGTATGTAAATATAAACAATGGTTATTTGGAGATCGTGAGATGCGGTCTGGTGTGACGTAGGTTTTAGAAAAACATTTTCTTTAACGTGCCAATGTTTCGATCTTTAGTGAGATCATCTTCAGGCTCAAAGTGTTTGTTTTTCATGTAGATGTGTTATTCTTGTGTGTCGTGTTGAGAGTGACGGTGAGATATTGATATCTCAACATGACACACAAGAATGACACATCCTGAAGATGATCTCACTAAAGATCGAAACGTTGGCACGTTAAAGAAAATGTTTTTCAAAAACCTACGTCACACCAGACCGCACCTCACGATCTCCAAATAAACATTGGCTAACGGTCACTAAACACCTAACATAAACAATAATCTTTGTTATTTTCTGTTTTAATGATGTAAAGCGGTCCTGTTTTTATATTTATTAACCCAAGAGGAGGAAAGACATTGAGTGATGTGCCAATAACATTTGATATAAACTCAAGATATATTTTTGGCAAAAATTTCGCCAGGTTCGTCCTTTATTGGTCGTTATTTTGCCCGTGCTTTGGACTTCTTTTTCTACTAGGTGAATTCTGTCTGTTTAAAAACATTTAAGCCTTAGTACATAAAACGAAAAAGCACGTATTTCATGATAAATCTGATATGAAACGAAGTGAAAACATAAATTTGAATTGTGTGGATAAGGAAAAAAGCCAAACTACAGTTCTTTTTGAAAATTTTTCGAAACTATTGCCGATTTCTTAACCGTTTTAACCGTTTAAATATAAATTTACATTATACACAGTAGGTGGCCCATTTATGTAAATCCACCCTCACCAAGTTGTGTAATTATTTTTGTTTTTTTCTTTCACTTCTGCCCAACCGTTGTAGCGCAATGGCAAATAAATTGCGGCAGTCCCGGGGCAGCCTACATTCAAAGAAAATGAAATCGTGCCAAGAACGTTGTGATTAATAGGTCAATAAAAGTCTGCAGGCTGAGTTCAGCATCCAATCCAATACTTGTTGACACACCTGTCACTCTTTTCTTCCTCTCTCTCACAACGACAATTAACGTCTACCTTTTATCGATTGATTGACCAATTAGTTACACAGCATCAAGAAAATCGGATGAAGATAGAATTTATGGTTTTGCTCTTAAAACTACACCATTTTCGACGAGTAGCGTGAGAACAGGACACTCATATTTTTTGTAGTTTATTTCAAACTAAGATTTGTAATTTTGTAGTTATATTATTTAGAACATTCCTATTTTAATATAAACCAAATTCAACGAGATCAAAAATTCATGTTTTTTCATAACCTCCAAACGAAGAGCAAGGTTGCGATGGCAACGCCATCGTTACCCCTCTGATAAAGTAACATTTAACCGTCTCACTTATGTTTTGAAACTCGAATTTTCCAAATACCGTTCATCCCAGTTCCAGTCATACCTTGAATCCTTATCCACACAAGACAACTCCCTTTGGCTAGCTACTAGGAATGTTACCAAACACTACCAAGTGCCTTCCCCAATTAGAAATCCAAACGGTACCTGGGCCAGGACAAATGCAGAAAGGTGTCAGCTACTTTCCGATCACTTTTCCACAGTTTTTATTCCCCATCCCGATATGAATGTCACTTCACAATCAAGCAATAATGTACATTACCACTATTTACAATGCAATATTTCGCACGACCTATTTCCCTATCCAGTGGAAACTATCTTTAATAACTCCAATACCAAAACCACACAAATCCCCCAGTGCCCCATCCTCTTATAGACCAATAAGCCTCCTTCCTATTTTATCCAAAATCTCTGAACGTATCCTTCTTAAAAGATTAATTCCTATATTTGACTCTGAAAACGTAATTCCTAACAATCAATTTGGGTTTCGACCTCTCCATTCTACTGTTCAGCATTGCTTCAGAGTAGTCGACACGATATCTTCGGCTCTAGAAAACAAACAATACTGCTCAGCCGTATTTCTGGACGTCACGGAAGCATTTGACCGAGTATGGCACCCCGGCCTCCTCTATAAGTTAAAATGTATCCTCCCTCAGGCCTACTACCTTATCGTGAAATCCTTCCTCTCAGATCGATGGTTTAAAGTAAGAATCGGCATCGAGTTTTCACCTATCACACCAATCAAAGCTGGCGTTCCACAAGGAAGTATCCTAGGCCCAATCCTCTACACTGCTGACATACCCACACATCCAAGCACACAAATCACAGCCTACGCGGACGACACCGCAATCTTATCAACACACTCCAATCCTATGGTAGTAACAGGAGCACTCCAACAACACGTGAACCTTATTACCAACTGGTGCAATCTGTGGCGGATCAGTTAACGAACAAAAAAGCCAACACGTTACATTTACGCTCAAACGACAAACCTGTCCACCAGTGCACATAATACCACCATCGAACCAAGTCCGCTACCTTGGGCTTTACTTAGATAGTAGACTTACTTGGAACCCACATACACGATTAAAACGGCAAGAACTTAACAAAAGATATGGACTACTCAGACACCTTCTTGGACCAAAATCAAAACTAAGCATACATAACAAACTAACCGCTTACAAAACACTCATCAGACCTATTTGGACCTACGGAGTCGAGATGTGGGGCTCGGCCAAATCATCCAATATCCAATTAAATCATTTCAATCTAAAGTTCTCCGCCGTATCCTCAATGCTCCCTTCTACGTCACAAATCAAACGATCCATAAAGATCTTAAAATCCCTTTCGTGAAAGATCTTATCCATACACGCTTCTTCACTTTTCACTCTAAACTCTCCCTACATCCTAACTCACTAGCCCTAACTCTTTCCTCAACATCTCACCCTTACAATCCTCCACGCCGTTTAAAACGACGATGGCCTCGTGACCTTCTATCTAACCCACCAAATTAACTTTTACTCCCCCCCCCCCAATTAAATAAAAGTTGGTTTCTCTCCCCACTGCCTCCTGGTCTGACAGGTCTGTCAGATTAGTTTATAACTAACTATTTGCTCAATGTATATTATGTACAGATAGCAATAAATAAAATAAATATCTTAAAAAAAAAAAAATTGACTGCTACTGGAATGACATTTCCACCATGATTATTGGCAAAAAGATAGAATAATATAGTTAAAATAAAAAAGCCCTAATCCTAATAAAAATATGGAATAGAAACGAGTTTTTTTATACGTATATAACAACATTAAGTTTTCTTATTTTTATGTCAATGCGGAAATTTAGAAAGTTCTGATTGTAATGTAATGTAAATTAGTTGTTCTGTCGAAAGTAAAAAAATTGAATTCCAAAGGCGTATTTATATTTTTTGAGGCTCGATAAAGAATTCTAAGGTTTGTAAGAGAATTTCAAAAGATCTATTATCCAAATTAACATTTTATGAATTCGAATGAATTTTCAGTTGTTAAAGTCCACTGAACTACAGTGGAGTCGGATATCGAACAGAGGGCCCCCTTCTTTTCGCATGCGATTGGCCATTTTCTGGCATGTGCCGGCCAACTGTTTTTGCATTTCCGGTCACGTCTCCTCGTATTTCAATGTTCGACTTCGAAGTCTGTTCATTTTTCCTAAGGGAACGGGATTCGGTCCGCGCGTTGTCGGCCAAGTGGGGCCGGGTTGTTCTCCTTTATAAACTACTCGAGGTAGTTTCTTGACTAGAAATGATTAATGATGGAGTGAGTGTGGAGTTGAATACTTTTTAAAAAGATGGTTCCTACTCACAATAAGACTCACTTAATGTGAGTAGGAACCATCCTTTTAAAAAGGGTTTCTTGACTATGTTTTTACTCCGACTCGACACTGGTCTATCGTTTGATATTTGTAAAAGCTCCCGACAAAATTCGTTAAAAAATCATGATGGATTGATTTTTAAAATTTCAGCATTAACGGCACAAAATATATTAAAAACACCCATACCCAAAAAGAAGAACTCCTCCAAAAACTTAACTTAGAAGTTGTACCAACAAGCAAAAACCAATGCAATACAAAATGATTTACCTAAATCAAAGTAAAATCATGTCACCAGTAGACAGAGCTGAGGAATAAATATGATAAAAATATTAATACTAAGATACAGATAATTACAATAATTTTGTTCTATTGACTTTACGAAAGATTCAGCAATAATACTAACTTCAATTATTTATTCGTTTTATGCAAGGTCTTGGTTGAGATGAAAAAGTTAGTATCACGACTGGGATTAGAACCAAGACCTTCGGCTCAACTCACCGCTGCTCTAACCACTTATTGAACCGAAGGTCGTGGTGCGAATCCCACTCGTGACACTACCTTTTTCAACTCAACCAATATCTTACATAAAAAGAATAATTTATTGAAATAAGTAATTTGTTCAATTAGACACTAAAACATAAATGGATTGACTAATACTAACATTCAAACCTTAAAGTCGGGAACACACTTACCCGACGTAACGCTACCCGACGCCTTGCCACGTTTTGGTAGGATGTGCACATCTATGCGACGTCAAGCGCACGCCACGTCCAGTCACACAGCGCGTATCACAAATCACTATCACAATCGCAACGCTTCTTTTGTTCTTAATGCACTATTTTGAGCAAAAGCATGTAATAATTTTTTTGTTCAATTTTATGAGCACAGCTATGTAATAAATTGTTAGTTAAATTTATTTGTTTTAAATAAAGTTATTCCGGTGTTTTGATAAATTTTCTGCCTAACATCATAATTAAATAATTTTTATAAGAACTTATGAATTTTTGATCTCGTTTAATTTGGTTCATATATAAGAATGTTGTAATTAATATAACGACAAAATTACATATACATAGTTTGAAATAAATTACAAATATATGAGTGTCTGTTCTAACACTCGACGAAAATAGTGTAATTTTATGAGCAAAACCATGAAATAAATTGTTAGTTCAATTTCATGAGCATAACCGTGTATTAAATTGTTAGGTAAATTCATTATATCAAAAATAGTATTCCAGTGTTTTGATCAATTTTCAATTAATTTCACCATTAAAATTAATAGTAATTCAGATATCGTGAGATGCGGTCGGGTGTGATGTAGGTTTCAGAAAAACATTTTCTTTATCGTGCCAACGTTTCGATCTCTTATTGAGATCATCTTCAGGCACTCTCAACACGACACACAAGGATGGCACAATTACACAGAAGACAAACACTTTGAGCCCTGAAGATGATCTCAATAAAAGATCGAAACGTTGGCACGATAAAGAAAATGTTTTTCTGAAACCTACATCACACCCGACCGCATCTCACGATATCTGAATTACTATCGATTAACGGTCACTAATCTCTACACATTAAAATTAATTAAAAAAAAGAATGAATTTTTGATCTCGGCTAATTTCGATTATATTAAAATAAGTTTGTTGTAATTAATATAAAGACAATACTACATGTAGTTTGAATAAAAATATGAGGTCCGGTTCTGACTCTACTCGACGAAAAAAGTGTAATTGTATGAGCAAAACCATGAAAAATTGTTAGTTAAATTTTATGAGCAAAACTGTGTAATAAATTGTTAGTTAAATTCATCTTATAATAAAATCGTATCCGGTGTTTTTATCAATTTTCTACCGAACCATTAAAATTAATTAAAAAAAAAAAAACTGATGAATTTTTGATCTCGGTTAATTTGGTTTATATTAAAATAAGTATGTTGTAATTAATATAGCGACAAATCATACATATAGTTTGAAATAAAAATATGTGTGTCCAGTTCTTTTGTCTTTGTCTATACTCGATGCTACCAGACGAAAATCTGGACAGTGGGGATCGCAGAGCGTAGAGTAGGGTAGCGTTGCATGGCATCGGGCAGATGTGCACGGTGGTAATCTTATGGAAAATTGGATTTTGGATATGCGTCTGGTCGCAAAGCATTGCATCGGGTGTGTTCCCGACTTAATTGACTCTTGTGACAAAACCACAACTCTATTATTCACAGACATAATCATTATGGATTGCCTCTTCAAAAATACGAAACTATTACCACAAACTTACTGATAGGATTCATTATTACTTCAAAGAAATCAATGCTTACAAATTGAATATTGTAAGTATGAGCGTAATTAATTAATTGTTTCTAAAATGTGGCACAATTAGCTATTATTTCACAATTTACTATACGAAAAACAAAATTGAAAATAAACAGCCATAATTTATTATTATTAGAAGGAAATTTTCACAATTAGCTATTACCACAAAGATACAAGAATATTATTATAAATGTATATAAGAACTAATGATAATTAACTATTATACAAAACAAATGTCACCATTGACTACCACCACAAAGATACAAGACCATCTTTCTATACTTTTTCTATACGAACCGCAATAATTGACTATTATTAGATAGTTTTTCACCATTGACTAATATCAAGACGTAGCTAATATTATAAAAAACATGAATAATTTACAATTACCAGAAAAGCTGGCGACTGGATGGTTACCGTGCTGGGCATCGCGGCGGGCCCTCCTGAGGCCACGCGGGATGGGGGAAGATCGGAGAAGCACCTGGGTGGGCCGGGTGATCGTCCCCAAAGGTTGAGAATTGCACTCACACTGTACAAACACAAACTACAGACCACACACACACACAAATGAAAAATGGAATTGGAAAAAGAAAATCAAGGAGTAAAAGTGCCTACTCCGCCTAGCCCGGGTCCAACCAGCCCAACCACACTCCCCCTTAACCAAATAACCCCACCTACCCCAACACTTTCCTCAAGCCCCCAACTGGATTTGCCTTGTGCAAATCCGGAAGGCCCCCCAACATCCCGTACTCCACCGGCCCAATGCTCCACCCCACCACCCTCATCAATCCCATCACAACCACCCTCTCCTTCCTGTGAGGTGGAGAATGACGGATTCATCCCCGTACATGGGAAAAGAAAAAGATACCCACCAAACTCGCCAAAAGGCGTAACGGTAGGAGAGAAACCTGCGCCTGTGTCCCCTGTGTCTCCGGCACAGAAGAAAAGAAAGCAAGAGGAAGAAAAAGAAATTAAAAACAGAAAGAAAGAAAAAAAGAACAAACCATCAGCAGGTATCGCGTCGTTTGGTTTCGGAACCATGGGGATTACTCCTCTCTCCGAGACATACCAAACGCGCTACTACAATGTGACAAGGAAAGAGGGCGATTTCAAATCCACGTGCCCCTTCCGTCTGTACAAGAACATAAAAGAAATCTTGGGAGTCACAAGTACAATTACGAAGAGTAGAGAGGGAAAGATATGTATTGGTATAACAGGCAGAGAAAAGGAAGAAACTCTAAAACAACTAAAGACGCTTGCAGGACATGAGGTCGAAGTTACCCCTCACCAAAGGTTGAACACCTCCAGAGGGGTAGTAATATGCCGCGACCTCATGAATAGTAGTGTTGACGTCATAAAAGAAGGCCTTGAAGACCAGGGTGTGTTGGAGGTGAGGAGGATGAATACGCGCAGGAACGGACAAATTGTCCCATCTGCGAGCCTAATCCTCACTTTTGACACACCAATATGCCCAGAGGAAATAAGGGCGGCCTTTTACAAATTAAAGGTCCGACCATACATCCCGAGCCCTCAGAGATGCTACAGATGCCAACGATTTGGGCATATATCCCTGCGGTGCAAGTCGCCGCAAGAGTTCTGTGAGTGCGGCAGGGAGGCTCATCCAAAAGAATCCGGGTGCGCTGACCCTCCCACATGCGTGAACTGCGGCGGTTGCCACACGAGCAGATCGGCAAGCTGTCCTATCCTCTCGAAAGAACGAGAGATTCAGAAAATGAAAGTAATGAACAGAATGAGCTTTCGAGAGGCTAGGGCAGTGGTCGACATCAAGAGCACTGTGGGGACGTATGCCCAGGCGGCAGCACTTCCCACTCGGGGTGCAAAGGCCCCAGAAAAAAACACGGCGGCCCCTCCCTTAAAAGGAGCAGCCGTCAAAGCCCCCACTTCTATGTTGGGGGCAAAACAAAGGGTGGCCGATGCCATCCAACCCCAGAAGAGGATGGTGACATCCTCTTCCCAAACGTCCCCGGAGAGGGACCCAACGGCGATCAATAAAAAGGCGCCGAACAAGCCGGGGACGATCATGCCCCCACCGAAATTGCCGCCACCCGTGGCGGCAGCCACACCATCGGGCGGTTCCTCACGCCTTAACTGGGTCACGGATCTAGAAGCAACGTCTGGATCCGAAACCTCTTCAACTGCCACTGATGGCCCCGTCCGAAGGAAAAAGGGGTGGCAGAAAGGCCGACCCAGACCAAATTTGCGAAAACAAAAATCAAAAGATAGCGAATAATGGAGTCCATTCTACAATGGAATTGTAGAGGTATAAGCAATAAAAGACACATGCTACAGTTACTGGTTAGGGAATATATACCGATGGCTATCGTCCTCCAGGAAACCCGTATCCGCCCGGGGGGGCGCCTCGAACTGAGGGGATTCAACACCTTCTCCAAAGAGGTGCAACCAGATCCGGGGGGTAGGGCACATGGAGGGGTAGCCATCCTAATAAGAGAAAACATATCGGTTCAAGAGGTGAGGCTAAACACTGACATCCAGGCGGTCGCCGTGAGAATCGCAGCGCCTATGCACCTCACACTGTGCTCCATCTATCTACCTCCAGGAGGACCGTGGCACAGAAGTGGGGTCTCTGCCCTAGTCGAGCAACTCCCCCCGCCAACGTTGGTGTTGGGCGATTTTAACTCGCACAACACATGGTGGGGGTCGTTGCGCACCGACGCGAGGGGCAGAGAGATGGGGGACCTAATCGGAGAGTCCAATCTGGTCCTCCTAAACACCGGCGCTGCTACACACATTGATTTCAGAACAGGCAACTATAGTGCGATAGACCTGTCATTAGCCTCACCTTCCCTAACCAACCGGATAGAATGGGCTCCGTTAGAGGATCCTCATCTGAGTGACCACTTCCCCATAGTGTTGAGGAGTTCCGTCTTGAGAGGAATGTATCATGCGCCCATGAAGTGGAGCCTGAAGCGTGCGGATTGGGAGCTTTTCTCCGCGTCGGTGTCGGCACCCGACCTAACAGGGAATGTCGACAATGATCTCCTACTTTTTGAGAGGGAGATCAATCGCGCCGCAGGCGGATCTATCCCCAGGACCGGTGGGTCTATTTGTAGACCTCGGGTTCCCTGGTGGAGTGCCGCCTGTGGCCGCGCACACGCGGAGAAGAAGCGAGCTTTCCGACGCTTCAGAAGACATCCGACGGAGGAAAACCTTGATAATTTTAAAGTAAAAAGGGCTAGGGAGAGGCGTATCCTGTCCCAGGCCAAAAAAGAAAGTCTGGCGAGATATGTGTCAGAAATGACGCACCATACATCCGCCAGGAAAGTCTGGGACAGGGTCAGAGCCCTCTCGGGCCGATCCAAACCTCCGTCGGTCCCTATCTTAAGCACGGATCATGGGAGCGTGACAGAAGCTTCGGAGGTGGCCGAAGAACTAGCGCAGCATTTTGCTGCGGTATCCAGCTCCGAAGCCTACTCCGATAGCTTTCGGCAAAGAAAGACCGAGGCGGAACGCATGACAATCGACTTCGACGGCGGAACAAGTGAAGCGTACAACGTGCCCCTGACGATGGGAGAGTTCGAGTCTGCGTTGGGGCGCACCCGGAATTCAAGCCCCGGGTGTGACGGTATCCCATATGAGATGCTTCACCACCTTCCCCAGGGTGTGAAGCGTCGCTTGTTGGACCTTTTCAACAACATATGGGAATCAGGCTCGTACCCCGATCGTTGGCGAGAGGCGCTCATCATACCTATCCTTAAAGAGGGTAGGGATCCAAGCTTGGCTTCGAGTTACAGACCGATTTCGCTGACAACCTGCTTGAGTAAGATCCTGGAGTCCATTGTAAATGGTCGGTTGACCTGGTACCTTGAGACGAAGGGATTTTACAGCCAGTATCAGGCGGGATTCCGTAGACATCGCTCTGCGGTAGATCATGCATGTCTTCTCGAGGGCGACCTTCAGGACACGTTCCTGAACAGAGAACACGCTCTGGCTGTGTTCTTCGACCTTGAGAAGGCGTATGATACGACGTGGAGATACGCGATACTACGGAAGTGTCACGATTTTGGTCTAAGAGGTCAGTTGCCGAGGTTTCTCCGGGGTTTCTTGGAGAACCGCAGGTTCCGAGTCAGGCTGGGTACCGTGCTCTCTGGGGATCACGTTCAAGAGAACGGCATCCCCCAGGGTTCGGTGATGAGCGTTGCGCTTTTCTTAGTGGCGGTGAACGGAATTGCTGACGGCATCCCTCCGCAGATAAAAAGGATGCTTTTTGTCGACGACCTCTGCTTCTACCATTCCGGTAAGGATTTGGCGGAGGTCGGCGGCAGGGTGCAATCAGCAATAGACGTTGTGGCTGCGAGAGCCGAGGAAACCGGCTTCTCCTTCTCCTCGTCGAAGACGGTTTGCGTCCACTTTTGCAGATTAAGGAGGACCCATAGGCCCCCACAGCTCTGCTTGCTGGGCGCCCCACTTCGATATGTGGAGACGGTACGGTTCCTCGGCCTCATATTTGATAAGCAGTTGAGATGGCAGCCACACATCGACGCCGTCGAGGTCAGAGGCAGAAAAATCCTCACACTGCTGAAATTTATTGGTCACTTTAGATGGGGAGCGGACAGGGAGACCTTGTTAAAAATGTTTGACTCGCTGCTGTGTTCGAGAATCTTCTACGGATGTATGGCCTATTCCTCGGCCCGAAAAACGCGTCTGAGAAAGCTCGATAGGCTCTACTACCAGGGTCTCAGAGCGATCTCGGGAGCGTTCAGGACCAGCCCCTTGGCCAGTCTGTGCTGTGAGCTGGGGGTATTGCCTCCCGAATTACGGAGAGAGCAGCTCACCCTCAGTTACGCGGCCGGGTATCTGGCCAAGCCGTGGCATCCCCTAGCAAGGACGATTCTTGAGTGCCCGTACAGAGCCGTCTATGACATGCTTCGCTCGCGGACGCGACCCCTCGGGATTCGCTTCGGCGAGGCCTTAGGGAGGGCGGGACTGGCTCTGGGGACCGTGCTTCGGCTGGGTGACCGACCGACACCTCCTTGGACCCTTCCTGCCGTACTCGTCCGCGACGACCTGGCGAGCTTGCCCAAGTCGTGTACACCGCCACACCTCTATAAGACTAAGTTCCTTGAACTTAGGAACAAGTACGCCGGTTTTGGTCTTGTCTTTACAGACGGGTCCAAGACTGGCGATGGTGTGGCCTGTGCCGTGTATAGCGAAGGAGTGGCCACCTCCTGGTCGCTGCCCCCCCATTGCAGCATATACACGGCAGAACTGTACGCGATTTGGCACGCTCTCGAGGCGGTGCGGACCGAGGAGGGATCAGCCTTCCTCGTATGCACCGACTCTCTGAGCGCTGTCTGGGCCCTGCGGGGCGGGTTCTCTTTGGACCCTCTCGTCGTGCTGTTGTTGGAAAAAATCGCCGAGTTGAAGCGCTTCGGAAAAACGGTGGTTGTTGTCTGGATCCCCGGACACGTCGGGCTGGAGGGTAATGAACGTGCGGACGAGGCGGCAAAGGCCGGAACGTCCAACCCTCCAGACCGGACCATCGCGACCAGGCCCTCTGACGCCAAGCTAGCAGTAAAGACCATGATAAAAGAAAGATGGCAGCGTCAGTGGGCCGGGTCGTCCGAGAGGCTTTTGCGCGTCAAGAGCACGATTCGTAGATGGCCCCCCGAGAACCTGAGCCGGAAACAAGGAATCGTCCTAACGCGATTAAGAATAGGCCATACACGGTTGACACACGGCCACCTGCTCTTGGGCCAGAGCCCGCGCAGGTGTCCCTTATGCAGAGAAAGGTTGCTCGATGTGTCCCACATACTGGAAACATGCCATGCCTTGGCTCCCTACAGGGAGCGCGTAGGCATGCCATCCAATCTGAAGAAGGTGCTCGAGCACTGCAGCGGGTTTCAGGGTCCCCTGTTCCGATTTTTACGGGAAATTGGGGTTTTTTATTGTATATAGTATGTCTCATGTGTTGTGTGTCTATATGTTTGTCTGAGTGCATGTATTTATTAGCGTGAATGGCGAGGGGTGAGGGTGAAATATAACATCATCATCGCCCCTCGAACAATGAGAGCGTATGAGTTTGTGTTCGGGGTCGATGGCGGAATATTTATAAAAGTACTCCATCGACCCCAATCTAGTTTAGTTCGAGTATAGGTCGGTGGAGGAATATCAAGTACTCCACCGACCAAACGGAATGTGTGTATTGTATGGATGTATTTATGTGTATGAATGTATTTATCTGTATGAATGTAGTGTTTGTAAATAGAAGTGTAAATAGAATATTGACTTGACTTAGTTTGGGGCTGAAATGACCCAGATGTCGGAAGCCCCAGTAAAAAAAAAAAAAAAAAAAAAAAAAAAAAAAAAAAAAAAAATTACCAGAAAGAAATTTTGACATTTTCACCATTGGCTTATCATCAATACTCAAGAATTTTATTATAAATAAAAAGTAATAATTGATTGCCAGAAGGCATGTTCAACATTGACTATTTCCACAATGATACATTATCATAAATAAACAACCATTATTGACTATCACTTGAAAGATAATGAACTGTTAACACAAAGATATAGTGATTTACAGGTGGCTATTATTACAGAGACAATCGTAATTCATTACCATTTTAAATCACTTTGTTGTTTTGGATTTGATTTGATTTATACAGGCTCAAATCCGCACATTTACATAAATACAAATATGTGCCGAGTTGAGCCTATTCAATTTTCATACTACACCGCCGAAATGCTTTTGCTATTTACTGTAAATTATTGGTAGACTCGATAATCACCAACCCCGGGGGTTGGCAGTCCAGGGGCAGACCTCAGCCTTATCCGTCCAGCCTTCCAGTTTTGGATCCGGGAGGTGTCAACAGCTAGGTCAATTCAAATCCAACGCATGCAGTTCCAAACAAATTCGTACTCGCGTTCATTCTTAAATACATTTACTCATATTTACATGCCATTCATTCAGGTAGGTTGGTGGAATACTCGATTCGTGCATCACCCCTTACACATATTATACACCTTAACCTAATTAAGGGTCGATGGGGTACTCGATATTCCGCCATCGATCCTTTCATATCACACATTCACGCTAATAAGTATAATCTCGCTAGTAAATACATTCACTCTCAACACAAGCTAGGTTTGCTCAACTCAATGGAACAACTTCATTTCCTCAGAATCGGAATACGGGACTTAAATACCTGCTACCGTGCCCAAGCACAATTCTCAAATCGGCTGGCATTACCGCGCCCTCTCTGTATTGAG